TAATTATTACTTACTGAAAAAAAAAAGGGTATGGGTAAATACTACTAAAGAACTAAAAATGAAATCATACTTAGTATAATATACTATAAAAAATACTAGCACATAAAAAATTATATTTATTTATTATTTCTATAACCAGATATAAATAATTCATCTATAATTTGAAAGAACAATAGTACATTCTAAATGCAGACAAAATTAATCAAAATGTGCTACAGACTGAAAAACTGGTACTCTGTTATCGGGACTGGATTAAGGAATGTCTATATGTATGCATGTATGTATGTGTCTATATGCGTACACATATACATACGTATGTACATATAATATACATATACACTCATTTCTGAATTCATTTCCGATTACAGAAGAGTACCGAAAATTCTTATTTCAAGATTACAAGAATTGAGGAAGTATTGATAACTGACATTCAGTTTCTTCCCCTGTCCCTGAAAAATACTTATTTGTGCTTCATTTAATTTCTCGGAATACAAATATGTTTGACAAAACGTGCTTATTTCCTTTCTTAAATAATTTTATTATAAAATTTTGGGCACATATCTATAAACCAATAGTTTGTCCTTCCCTGCAGTGCCAAGAAGTTATGAACTGCACTGTCTCCATAAGAACATGTCACGAACACAAGAACATTTTGCATTTATTGCCAAGATCTTCATATTATAATCAGAAACCTGCAAAATATTACTGTCGTACATAAAGATCTTATCTAAAGGCTTAAACAAGAATAAAGGAACTATATGCTATCAACAACAGGAATGTTTATCAGGATTATAGAAATACATATGTTTGATAACTTTTAAATGCCTTGAAACTTATTCGCTAAATGATAATAATCTAGTTAATATGAAATAATATTCTACAATATAAAATTATTGAGGAGTGTTAATTAAAATCCTTGGGTTTACTAAGAAAATAAATTACATAAGCATTATACAAATCTCATTTCAAATTTATGGAAAGATACATGTTTATAACATTATGAAAGCTGAGTTATTATTCAAAACTAATCCTACTTCAGAAAATTCTCAATACACAGTTTTATAGTTTTACATATATGTAACAATTATGAGTACAATCTCATAAAATTGGCCCACCAGCGGCTGAGCGGTAAAAGCCGCTGAACACTGGTAGTTCGTTCCGGGGTTCGAGTCCCGGCGAACGGGCTGGCTGCATGGGCGTTTTCGTGGTTTTCCCCATGTGTAACGTAAATACGAGCCAGTTTCCCTTAAAAAGACCTCCACGGGGCATCCCTCCCTTTCCGTGTAGTGCCTAAGGGAGGAGCACGTAATAAATAAATAATAGTCTCATAAAATTAACATAACCTTCTCATTTGTAGTGTCCAAAATCAAGATCCGAAAGAGATTAAAATGACCTACTGACACCTACTGATTTTTTTTATAAACTGTATTAATCTATCACATGAGAAACGTGCAATATTTTCATATGATGCTTCTAAAATAGCATAATAATATACTGGTAAAGTAAAATGGAGAAAAGAATACTCTTTTTTCAAACAATTTCATAACAACATATCCTTCATAAGAAGAAACAGGGTATTTTGCATCAATAGGTAAAAAATTACAATCCTTTTTCACATGAATTTTTAAGCACTATAATTAGATAAAATATTAACAGATGACTTCAAGAATATCAAAATCTAAAATCCCCCAAAACACTGTAATTCGTTTTTAAATAATACTGCAAATGAATCCAACTAGTCATCTTTTTTCAGATCCTGATTTTTGACTACAAAATACAAATGAGAATGTTATGCACCAAAGATGTAATTTATTATGAAAACTAGAGAGAAATTTAACTAACATATTCTTCTCTGTTTACTATTATATAATTCGGAACTTAATTCCAATTAAATTTTTCGAATGTTTCAGGTGATACATAAAAAATATTAAGCAGAAAATTATTCGTTAAGTATAGACGAATTCATAAAAAATGTTTCTACAACTGAAATTGATCAGAAAACCAGAAATCACGACACATGTAGAATATATAAACATAAATTATAGAATAATTGATTAAGTTATTTACAATTTTTGACTGAAATTTCAACAATTCAAATAAGTAACTTACTCTTAGCTCAGGCGGCAATCCAGTAAAATGTAAGTCTTCGAACAAAAGCTGTTAGTTCAGAACAGAATACAACAGTTTATCTCCCCTAAATAACTTTATAAACTGCTTAACAGATAATGCAAACGTATCCAGTCTGCTTCGGAACATTCTTCTTTGAAATGAATTACGATGATGTATTCAATTTAAAAGATACATTGGTAAACATTCATCCGACGCCATTACTTTTCGATCGCAAGATTTTTAAACGGTTGCACATAAGCAGCCGAAAACTAGACGATCGCTACGCCGCACGAAATGGTTTCGATCGGTGCTGGAGGATTGCAAATTGTCGCTCCGCGCGAAAAACCCGTCATATGTGACGTCACTCTCGTATCGAGATCTCGTCGCACGCAAGGAGGATACGGCCCTAAATTTACAGAGTTAATTATTATTCGAGAGCATAACAAAATTTTTCATGGTGGAGTGACATTTACTCTCGCCAAAATAAGGTGTAGATTTTGGGTTCCACGAAGTAGACAAATTATAAAAAAGGGTAATAAAATCTAAATCATAGACCTCTTACTTATGCCCACAATGAAATAAAAGAGCCACAAGCTCTCACACCTGCCCATTTTTTGTTTCCAGGGACAGAAAATATTTCTTATCCTGTACATTTCGCCGACCTTTTCAGGAACGAACTATTAAACAGGCAGACTTTGACTAGGAGAAAACTATATCAAACTAATCTTTTGAAACAAATTTGGAAAAAGTGGAAGGAGAATTAACTCCTCGAATTACGGTCTGCGCACACTTTTCTTAATACATCTCCTGAAAGGAATCTTAAAAAGGGTGGGTTGTATTGCTGGAGGGGTCGACGAAATCAAACATTTTACTGCCTATTGGAATTATAGAAGAAGTTTATAAAGGTAAGGATGGGTATGTGCGTTCATGTTTGATTCGTACTTCGCAAAGACTTTATCGAAGACCCGTCGAATTGATCTTTCCTTTTGAAGTTTAAAGTTATATATTGTTACGAAATGTACAGGCGCGGTAAGATGGCTTCCCCGCAAAGCAGCTTTAGGGTTGCCATAAAAATGGCAAAGGAGGAAAATCGTCCATTTGGCGACAAAATTGGCGATATACCATGGGCGGTTGGAGAACCTTCTGGAACGAATTCTTACCGGTTTAGCCCAGAATGTTCCCGAACACAAGCCGAAAGCTACATAAACCCTGCTGGTCCGCAGTCAGTGTATGTGTGTGCCTCGTCTAGCGAGCCTGATAGTCAGTCATTGAGCGAGTGTCTCGAGGTCTACCGCCGAGGTGGTCGTCGAGTGCATCGAGAGAGTCTTTTAGTGCATCGCAAATTAGTGCATCGTCGAGTTTCGTCATAGACTGTGCTGAGTCGAGAGCTATACTCTTCTGTATCGGCGAGTGCATCGTGTGGAGAGTCTCGAGAGTACATGGATTTCCGAGCATAACCAAGCAGAGTTGGGAGCCGTACTCAGGTGCTTTGCAGTGAAGCTGTCTCCACCGTTATTGCCTGAAAGTGTGAAGGCTGTGTCACTGATTGTTCCAACGTGTTTATAGTAGATCTCCGACGACTGTAAAAAGTGTTTTTAGAGCTGTCCTGATTAACATTGGCTAAATCAAGTGTGTTTCGATACTTCATCAAGTAGTATCGTCGTTATTCACTCCAAATCTACGAACCCTGTACGAACGTGAAGGAAGAAAATAACTTAACAATTGGTGTCAGAAGAATAGGAAAAACGTAGCAATATAATATATCTTTGCGTCATGTATCGTATTAATTTGGAATGTAGTTTTCAGTATTGATTCGTGCGTATTGATTTGTGATTATATCAACATTTATTATTGATTTGTACTCTTAACAGAGCACAGGTGGGGTGTGTTAGAACTTTTCATAGTATAGAGGGCGCTGTTGCGCCGAAAGAATTCTTCTGTGTGTTTACATTATCTAACAGTCGGTTCGCCGTTGCGATGCGTCTGTATTACTGTGATATATTCTGATGTTTTCATTCAATATAAACGAAAGATGTCATGTATTTTGTATACCAAATCAAGATAAAATTTTTACTGATGCAAATTTGTCGAAACAAAAATAGCATTCGTACAAGAATCGTCAATTGTTGTTTTCTCCTTTCGAACTTCGCATTCGTATAGTATTTCGCTTCGTCATACCATCACTTATCTTACTAAAATTAAAAAAATTAATGTCACGTTTGCAACTATGCGCCCACTTCTTGACAGAAGAAGTCATATGTCCGCTTCTAATAAACTCCTCACTACTCTATGCTAGTCCTGTCTGGGGCCACGCTGCCAAAGCTCACCTTCAACATATCCAAGTTCTTCAAAAGAAAGCACTCAGAGAGATTATCAACGTGCCATGGTTCATTCCAAATTCGTATATACCCGTGATCTCAAATTTCTACACAATTCAAAATTATATTAAGAAACTTGCCAGAAATTTCCTCTATTCAGTTCTCACTCATCCTAACAACTGCATCAACTCTCTTAGATGTTCTCCATTTCTCAGAAAAAAGTCAATTATCCATCTGGCATTCTCGATCCTTAACATTTTTTACTCGTACTAAATTCTTCAGTTGACTAATTTGGACATTCAACCAGAAACTCACCTATTTCGTCGACTGATGGCGGTAACTTGACTTTTACTTTCGTCTTTTTGTTTTACTGATGTTCTTCACGTGATACAGAGTAAAAGGAGGCGCTGCTTTCTGAAACTCAAATTCACTATATGTTCTTAGTAGTGGAACCAAAGTTCCTTTTAATCGAAAGCCTACACTAATCACATAAAAAAAAAAACTTTCCGACTGCTATATGACGGTTACAGTTATCACTGGCATATTTTTCTCAATTTAAGTTCGGTAAAATCTCGTTTAAACTCGTACAGTTCGAGATTAATATCTTAAGAAGACTTGAGATGGAATGCCAAAAAAGTAATTCTGTACACAATTCGTAATCGAAGTTTTATATCTTGTTAATGCTGTATAATTCGTGAGTGATTTCTTAAGTATATTACGAGTTTTATGGCTTTAGTTTACATTAGCAATTATTCGCATATGTATTCCATTTGAAAGTTGACATTGCCGTGAAAAAATGTCTGCCGACAAGCTCTATCCATGTATGTTACCATTGTTTTTGTTTTGTTTTGCTCTAGTATGCTATAAATTGTGTTAATTTCACATTTTAAACTTTTAACATATGTATGTTTAAAATTTAAAATTATAGTTCATGTAATCGGAATGTTTTTTCTCGCGTAGTACATCAATTAACCTTCCAAATTTCTTCTGGTTTTGAAAGCTGTGTTTTATTTCTTTTGGTGTATATTAAAGATGTAATTATATATGCAAATGACATTTCCCACCTTTTGCATTCCCACGTATTGCATTGGCTGTGCTTCAACCAAAATACTATTATTAAATAGCTCATGAGGAAAAATTTCATTTTACGATAATAAAAAACTTAATATATCAGCATGTATTTCACTTTTGAGCGGAGCTTTCATGCTCTTATTTATGAAAATTTGATATTTGATTATGTTAATGCATCTGCAGATTTTAACGATGTGAGTATTCAAAACTTTTATTAATGTCAATAAAAATTCTTTCTGTCCATAATAGTTTGATAACTTGCTTTCAAAGTATTATTAAATAATATAAGGTAGTAATATTTCAGTTTGATTCATTCATTCGAAATTAATAGTTCTTTAAATAAAAATATCTTTCGCGTATATAATACAAAGCATATAAATGTATGTATTATATGTATTCTTGTATATTGACAGGCAGGTATTGGAATGTAAAATTCTTAAAACGTGCAGCCGTAATTGTAAATTTTTCAACAGGGGTTTGATCTTGCCCTTTCCTATGCTTCAGATCGTAATTTTGAAAAACATCTTATGTTCTCATTTCTGAATTGTTCATTGTTTATAAAGGGAGGCTTACCTGTATGGAATAGTCAATAATTTTAAAAATTAATTCAGGAATTTTGTGTTCTCAAGATATGTTTAAAACTCACCAGTAGTCTTATGATGAGGCATTTTAAACTGCTTTTTTTTTTTTTTTTTTGTTGTTTTGGAGTTTGCCAGAAAAACGGGCTGGCTACAAGAGTGTTTTCATTCTTTATCCCCAGCATAATGTAAATATGAGATAGTATCTTTCATGTTCAGATTACATCCATATGTTTTGTGATAATATCATCAGTGCAGCTTTATGGGGTTTCATGAAATGTACTGTGTGAATGTAACTTTATGTGTTTTGTAATTGTTGGTAACCTCATATTATAATATACATAAATATGAATACAGTGGTGACGTTCTGTTTATAATGATGGGCAGGTGATGATTACAGGGCAGGTCATCCGCATCAGGTTGCAGAATTTAAGAGATTTTTTAGAATTCATGGAGATACCTGTTGGCAGAATTTAAGGAGCCACAGAGATTACACCAAAAAGCCTAGTGACTGCCCTATATGATTGCCCTATATGACATGATTGTTTGGAAATTTCTGCATGTATTAGGCTTTAGAGAACATACTAGGAATTTTAATTTATCAGTTGATAATCCATTTGATTGCAATTTATTGGTGACTGAATGTTGTTAAACGAATATGAACTATATTGCCACTGAACTATTTTTGGTCTGAACATAAGTTGTCAGCTCCTTAATGTATCGCATATTTCAGATTCTGAAGAAAGTTTTTGTTCTTAGCTGTTGGATGAACTGGCTGCAAGAAGTTTTCTGTTTTACTCATGAATATTGTAAATAAGTCAGTTTCGCTGGTGAAATTAACTGGTTTATATGTAAAATGTGTTTTGTTTAGTGAACTGGTTATTAAAAATTTTGATGGTTATTTAGTAAATTTATCAAAAGAACTGCAAGTTATATAAAACTGCTAACTTTTTTAGAGCTCATTGCTGACTAAAATAAATAAACTAATATGACTTGCATTATATGGTTAGTGTATGTAGTATTTTTACTCCAATGGGACACATAAAAAAAAAAAAAAAAAAAAAAAAAAAAAAAAAAAAAAAAATTAAATGAGAGATATATCATAAACCAAAAATTTTTAATTAAGAACATCAAAACAGTGTTTGTAATGCACATGCAGGCATTGTTATTGTTTTTCTGGCTACATTTTGGAGGGGATGCAAAAGCTTTTAATATTTGATTTTAATATTAACTTGATATTGAGTATTTTGAAACTGATCATTCATTTCCTATCTCGGCAAGAATTTGAGAAATTTTTTTAGAATTCAGAGAGATACATTTTGGCTGAATTTAGGAGCCACAGAGATTACACCAGGCAACAAAAAGCCTAGTGCCTTACCTTTTCCAACTGTTTTTCGCATCATTTTAGAGAAATAATTTCTTTACTCCAGCCCTAAGTGAATCTTAGAGATGTTATAAAAAAAACTAGCTTAATCCAATACACACTGAATTTGGTTGCATAATGATGTGCAGTAAATGAGTCATTTTAGTGTTGGTGACAATTTTCAAAGTTGTGCCGATGCCGTACCATATACTAGGATTTACCAAAACTTATTCTTCATCATTGTATTTCTTATTACAACATTGATAAACATCATACTGTCATTGAATGCTGTCTCCAAAAAATACTTCATTTTGTGATGTTTAGCACATATTGCATTAGTAGGCAAAATGTCTGTTTATTGGTAAAAAGTGTAGCTTTTTCCTTCATTGTAGGCAGATATGAAATTTTCATTATAATTTAAGTGTATTGCATAGCTGCCAAGTCTCCTGGTTTTACTAGGAAACTTGGTTTTTCATGACATTTCCACTGAATCTTTCGGTTCTCAGTTTTTAGTCTTTACCTAGGAAAATTTTTCCTAGCTATAAATTAAATTTATTGAATTAAGGAAACTAATTATGCAAATTCCAATCTCCTTCCTGTACTGATTTTCATCATAACTTTCGTATTACATTTTATTTTATCTAAATTGTCTTAATCTACTGTAGACATTTGTAGAACATTTTTTATAAAGATTCAAGCAATATTTAATCAGCTAATATTTGCATTTAATTTTGTTTTACATTATATATAATATATTACTAAGTTTATGTGCACAGTTATATGTACAGTACCCACTGCTTATTAAAATTACTACCGTTTGAAATGTAGGTAAAAATATATTTACGGTGCCCCTTGACGAAAATTCACGAATTTTGGCGGTACATGGATACCGAGTTTGTGCAATTCTTTGACTTATTATTTTGGCTTTGTGTCCAAAAATCGTTCAAAATAACAAGTCTTCAGAGAATTGCACAAACTTGGCATTATATACTCCCCTGACTTTGTCCGTGTACACATTGATCTGTTTTCACTTAAAAAGGCCAAAGGAGCACCCAATTAATTCTACAGTAGGGCCAAACAAAAAAGTACATAATCTTAATAAATTACATTTTAAATCAAACAATAAAAAAAAATAACATAAAAAAGGAAATTCATCTTGTGCATCTAAGCACTACATAAATCAAATATGCGCTTATCTTATTTCAAAATTTCTGAGTCCTTCAGTCTGTGGCACACCGAATTCCTTAACGGCATCCAAAATCTTCCTAAAATTATCTGAACTAGAATCTATATATTGGCATCGCCGCATAAATTTAAAAAAAATAAGAGTAAAAAATATCCTCCGTAGTGCCGGCATCCTCCGACATTCAACCATACACATTTCCTTCCTGCAAACAGGACACTTATAATGGCTACTAAGTATACCTTCATTTACACACCAGTCGATTAATGCGCTTTTCCATTTTCATTTCAAATTGTGCCGAAACTTCAAATGGTACTTTTCCGTTTCGCCTGCGCAAATTTTGCCAAGCATACTTTATTGGCGACAACACAGAGTATACACATAAACAACATTAAGAAATGTTAGTTTTAAGAAATTTTTATTTTGAAGGCATAAACATTTTAATATCATTTTAAATTTTGTAAAAGGACAATAAATAAAGACAATAAATTTGTAAAAAGACACAATTTTAAGAATTTACTATGCTTTCATGTACAAAATACGTTCGCCGTTTCATATCACGTCTCCAAGTGATCTCATTTCACGTAAACTACGCTACAAAAATTAATTGTCTCAGTATATTTACATTAATTTCACACTAAATCTTAATTTGGAATACAAGTTAAAATACAAGAATTATTTCAATCCGTACGAATAGCTTACTCAGAATTGTACCGCAGTTGCTTTTACTTCGCAGTGCATTCTCATTAGAATGGATGAATTTAACCCTTGACTTTGCCTTTTCTATATTTTCGCTTCGGGGAGTTGGTGTGATTGATCCTAATTGACTTAATTACCGCGAATGGCCTTAGGGCATAAAATGAACTAGTGGTAAAACTTCTATGTAATTATATGCCACTTTTGAGAAAAACAATCATCTGAAAGAATGCGACTGTTTTAAAAATGAGGCGTAAAAGGTTATTAGCGAGGATATTCCGTTTGGCATCCGTAGTACCATTTTTGGCGACTTTATCGCTTGCGCCGGCAAAATGGAAAAGTACCCTTCAAATTAATCTTACCACATTTAGCCATTTTACTGTGTAAACCACAAAATAACAACTTACTTCTTACCCCAAAATCTGACACACATTGTCCAAATCTTTTCTCACAGTTCCAGTTGGATAACTATAAAATAAAAAGCGCTTATTAAATTGTTTCTAAAGCCTGATCAATAGCTGACCAGCATTGTGCATCCATAGAATAAAATTAGAGATTTATGGAGTGTCTTACTTTTTAAGGGGCTTTGAGATCACTTAATGAGACAAAAAATTTTAAAAAAAAATTAATGAGCAGTGTGAAAGTTTGAGAAAACATACCATGTGTCTAGGGTAAGGCCTCTTAAAAGTTTGAGGAAGATGGCCTTCCGGCTTTAGAAGTTGGCTTCTGTAAAATGGTGACTAGAAAAATTATAAAACTAGATTAATAGAACTTATAAGATGAACACCTAAGATACTCCATTCCATTAAGTTTCATGGTATTTTAGTATCCTTATTTACCTTTAAATTTTCATATAAAATATACCATTTTATTTTCTCAAATGTGATACTTTGCTCCTGAATCTCATTTGATATGGCAGGCCCATGAAAGAGAATTGAAGCATTATATATAATATGTTGAGTGCGAAAAAGTTAACTGAACTCAAACTTATCAATAAATTGTACTTATACTGTCATATTGAATCTGTTGATGATGAAGGTGACAACTGTTTTATATGCTTTCTTGTGAAAGATCCATAGGATGTAACATAAGTAGCCTTTTTTTGTATGCAGAGACCATGATTGTGAAACTTTCATTAAGCAGCAAGTTTGCTTACTTGACTACCATTGGCTGTTGAGAAATCACACAGCAGCAACTTCTGCTGCATAATGATTTCTTCATACCAACAGTGACAGAAAATAATCTTGATATGCTGCAGTTACTCCCAGATGATCTTGACCAGCAAGGTGACTGAGTATTCTCATGCTTAAAAAGCGAATCCAGATTTTTCAGACAATGCTTTAGGGAAAATCAGCTCTGTGAATTATATCCAATTGTGTTTGACTAATTTTGAATTTACCAACCACTTGCCTGTTCTAGCTTTTATCTAAATCTAGTTTCCTCAGCCTTATTTTTTTGGCTCACCACCTTCTTTTCAAAGTTTTTCATTCAGCACCTCTTTATGTATTTCTGGCCACTAAACACACTGCATATTTGTTAGATATTATTTTTCATATTATCTCTACGTTTCAATAGAATGTGGATTTAAGTTTAAGGTACCTTTTCATTGCACTAATCCACATTGAACTTTTTGTTACACTTCCATTATGAAATTTGGAATTACAATGGAAAAAATAAAGACTTATTATTATTTATTTAGTTAAAGCAATGAAAATTCTCGCCATTGCATGCATGCTGAACTTGCAAGAACATGCATTTAGTTAAAAGAGTATGTTACTTGCAGATATTGGATAATGCATATTTATAGATGTCATGATTTTAAAATACATAGGTGTAAATTATATCTTGTAAAATAAGTTCTGTAGTTATATAGATGTAAATTATATCTTGTAAAATAAGTTCTGTAGTTATATAGGTGTAAATTATATCTTGTAAAATGAGTTCTGTAGTTATATAGGTGTTTGCTTTATTAAATTGTATAAAATTATGCAAATTTTTTAATTCAATTTCATGTGTGTATCCTATACTATATTTCCAATATTCTCAAAACTTCAGTGGCACTAAATGTTTAACTTTCCCTTTGAAAAGTTCTCAGAGACTGAATGTTATTTTCAGATGGCCTACCTCTTGGGCATCGGAATTTGAGTCTCCCAACTGAATATGATTATCATCAAGCAATGGCCCAACATGCTGCAGTAGTGTCTGCAACTAATAATTCAGCTTTACATCCTGCAATGGCTCAAATTCCCATGATGCCTACTGGTTTAAACCTTTCTATGAATTCAGGAAACCATTCATTGTCATCAGGAATGCAATCATCTGTGACTAATGCTCATCATTTGACACATGGAAGTGGTGTTGCCACTGGTGGTGGAAAAACCAAAACTAAAAAACTTAAGGTTAATAAAGATGGTGTTCCAGCTCCTAAACGGGCCACAACTGCATACATTAATTTCACGCAGTGGTATCGAGAAGATCAAAAGAGGAATGGGAGACAGATACCTAAGGTAGTATAGATTTTGTTTTAAACACCAGACTTTTATAAATTGGACTAAAATAGGTATTTAAAGTACCTTAGATTAAAAATTCTTTTCGGATATATATGTGTGTACACTAAATTTGTTTCAAGTTATAATCTGTGTTAAAATGTGTGCTTCAAATTAGCTAAATACATAGCTTGGTATTCATTTGTATATTTTCTTTTGAGGTTAATTTTGTAGTGGAATGATTTTTGTCTTGATTTCAACACCATCCCGTTCTTTCTCTGCACAGGGTGAAAACTGTCTTTGCTTTCATTGTTTCGATGTTAGATAGCTCTTAACCCTTTCCAGCAAAGTGTGCACCCCAAAATTCCCTATGTGCACACACAAAAGTTGAGTGGAAAAGGCTTATACAGTACAAAGTCCATAATCTGGACTTGTCGGGACTTCAGTCATTCTGTATTAGGGGTTTTTATGAATTATAGATCATCAATTTAAATCTGGTGAGATGGCATGCAGAAATTATACAGTTAAAAATATGAAGCCGTAATTTGTGAAATAAAGAGCAGTTATGATCTAAAGGTATCAAAATTTACAAAAAAAAAGCTTAATATTTATTTGTTTACTTTATTAAACATTTTTTTCAATGTAAGTTGTTTAAGTTGCTTCATTTTTTGGGCTAATACTTTCTCTTTAATTCTATAAACAGACACAATTTCTTGTTCAGTTCCAAAGTTCCACTGTTCAAGTCCTGTAATTGCTGTGTCGAGAATACCGACTAACTTGTCAATCGAAAATTTTTCATTTTCAATAACCTCTCTGTCACTTTCTTCACTATTGGAAGTGGTATTTTTTGGATCTAAAACCATACTACAGATTTCGCCATCCGTTAATTGATTGATGATTGGGGCATTGTCATCGCAATGAAAAACTTCTGTTATATCATCTTCCTTTATCACCGCTTCTCCACATTTCTTTACAAAATCCAATAACTGGAAAATTTCACCTTTAGTTTACAATGTCCGAAAACCTTCAAATTCAAGGCTGTCATTATCATCGTTCTCACCATGAAATATGGTAGCTGGCCATAAATTATGCCAAGTATTTTTTAACGTATCTGGAGACACATGTTCCCACGATCTTGTGAAGCTCCACACAGCAGATTTTATGCTAAAAAATTTCAAAAAGTCTTGAAAAGTCTTACCATTGTTCAAGAAATTTAACATAGATTTAAAAAATGCTACTTTACATTTGAATTTCAGCACGTTCACTATTCCCATATCCATAGGCTGAATGATAGATGTACAATTTGAAGGGAAGAATAATACGGATACTTTATCTTTCACTAAAACTTTAAGTGAAGTATGTGCCGAACAATGTCAACAATCAGGACTATTTTTGAGTCATCGGGTAAACCAACCAAATTCAAATGTCGCCGAGCCTCGGGTATAAAATGATTTTCAAACCAATCATTCATCAACGATTGTGTCATCCATGCTCTTTTATTAACGGGGAAAATCGTTATTCCTTTAAAACATGCTTTTGCTTTGTAGATCCTTTAGCAGCTCCAGAATTGGAAACTCTTTTTGACATAATCGAAAGTTCAAGCTTAATTTTTATAAAATTGCTCTAACAGTCTGCAAAAAATAATAAGCCGGATCCAATTAGAAGATTAAGGAACAGCACAATCTGCAACATTAACTGAAATGCCTTAGAATCAGTAAAGATAATTTTAGCCTATCTTACACCGTCCATTATACATTAAATACATAATTATTTGCTTATACCGCATGCGTAAAGCATACAAAAAAAAAGTTTGTGGCCTTGAGTTCCGGATTATAGATCATTCTGGATAATGGACATCCGGATTATGGACTTTGTATTGTAGTAGGCGGTGCACAACCCTTTTAGCAGAAGGGCCACTCGCAGAAATGACTTGGTTGCCGAGGGACAATAGCACATGCAAAACAATTTTGTTTGGGAGGGGGGAATCAGTGCAGTAAGTTGCTAATTTTCAATTCAGACATGTACCATATCAAATTTAAATTTATTTGGAGACCATTACATATGTATAAGCAAGGAGAGAGAAGGTTTCCCATTTCCCTTGCATGTGCTGCTCAGGCAAACACACCCAGTTCAGCTTGGAAAAAAATTACAGTTTATGTTTGTGCAGGATAATTTAATATATAAATATTTTAATAAAAATGTGTACAAGTTAGCCATAGTTTAATACGTTAGTGTTGTGGTTGAGACTGTATTTTATCAACATTTTTTTATAAATTTGTTTGAAAGCTGATTGTTGATCTGTCAGTTTATTTTTTAATTTTGACTTATTTAGATTCATAACAGAAAATGTTTGTTCATATAATATAAGTACTACCAAACATGGTAGCACATCTGCTTGCATTTACATATTAAGCAAAAATTTCGGCAGATAGAGTTTTCAAGAATGTCTAAATCATGGAATCAGAATTTGCATGTCAGAACTTTGTAAATCAATAAGTTTCATTTGAACATCTTCTGAAGCTTCTTCTATTACAAAAGAAAATAGATGTTCAAACTGTTTAATTTTATGCAACTCAAAATATGTAAATCGCTTTTCAAATGAAGTAAGCAGTATCATTATTTGATCTGAATAATCTAGTTGTTTATCAGGAAAATTTCCTTGAGTTTCTTCAGGTAAGGAAAATTGACAAAATTTTGACTGCCAAGCTGGTTTGAGAGCCAGTTGACTGATGAATTGGTTTTTTTTTTTCCATCAATTTTTTGTTTAGGACATTCATATTATTTTCTTGGCTGTATGCTGATATCTTTATTCTGTATTAGTTTTAAATTTTTACCTTGAAATCATGCTTAAAATCAAACAATGAACAACTGCTGTGCCCAGAGTGGGATCACTGAAACATCAGGACCAGGTCAACAACTGTATTTTTGTTTCATTGCAGTATTTTCTTCTGTGAGCTCATTCACAATAGAAAGGTGGGTGCACATCTGTGTTTCATTTCCTGTTTTTCTTTTTCTTTTCCTTTTGCTTGCTTGCTTTTTTTTTGGGGGGGGAGGTTTGGTTATCAGCTAAGAAATTTTGGGTTGGTTTTCTGAAGGCCAGGGAAAATTTTATTAGTTAGCTCTTTGATTTTTCACTAGAGCAGTTCTCTTTCTCTCTCTCTCTCTCTTTTTTTTTTTTTTTTTCTCACTCATTGAAAGAAGTTTGTTAGCTCTACATTTTGATAGTTTTGAGCTGTAGATCTTTATTTAATTTAATTTGATAGTTTATATTTTCTTAATTGTAGATACAGTCAAATACCGAAAATCCGCCAATTCCTGAAATCCGCGTTGCCTCTCATATAAACATTTAGTTTATAGGTTTCGGAAACCACAACATTGAGTACGAAATACCGAAGAAAAAGTACTTACCGAATAATTACCGAAAAATAATGAGTCATAAAGGTTATAATAACCGAAAATAATGAGTCATAACGGAAATACCAAATTATTGACATCATGATAAAAGTTTTTCCCCCTCTAAGCTGCATTGAGGTAAAAAAGCAGACGATTCACTCAACTCTTATTCCAAGTTCACGATTCACGTTGTTGTATTTTCTGAGCTTTGTTACTTCATGAGATTATTTAGTGCTGTATTTAGTGCTGCCATTTTTTTTTAATCCAGATATTTTGTAGATAAATTAAGAATATTTTAAATTTTAGCCCTTTTTAATACAATGACAGATAAGAAATGCAGTCATGATTTTTCTGCTTGCAACGTTGAAAAACGTAAATACGTTGCATTCACGGTAATGTAAAAAGTGTAAATTCTGCAAAAGATGGAGGCAGGTGCTACTCCTTGGTTTATAGCTGAATCGTATGGAATTGCGACACGATTGTGTATGATATATGGAAAAATAAAGAAAAGCTGTTGAAATTTTACAGCAACAGTGATTCTAACACCGGAATCCAAAACCGGAAATCTGCACGAGGCGAAATCGGCAAACCTCGATGCTGTATACGTATAATACAATGAATCTTAAATTCACTTAGTTCAAAAACAAGTTTTTCTAATACTTGCGCAATAGCTGCAAAGTAAGATAATAATAATTTATTTACTAAAGAAAATATTGATTATATTATCTCCTAATATAAATTTAGTAGAAGTATCAAAAAAGAGTGAATCCGTATTTCGGAATTAAACTTCCTACGTGGGTTCACTCTTTTTTGATACTTCTACTAAATTTATATTAAAAGATAATAAAATGAATAATATATCAGTTTATATATTAATAATATTTAATGCATATAAAAGTTATGCAATAATGTATATAATAATTTAATTAAATGTATCTAATACACCTTATTTATTTTGCACTTTTAGTCTGAATATTACGATTTATCTTTTCTGTCCTGAAATCCATGAAATCCGCACAACCTCTGGTCCCAGCCTTTGTGGATTTCTGGACTTTTACTGTATACAGTCAAAAGTCGTTAAACCGGACCTCAAAGCTACAAACTTTCTGCGCATGCACCAACGCATAATGCGTTCACGCATGCGTATAGGGGTTTACATACGCACATAATACGTTTATGCATGCGCGTTTAATGTATAACAGACGGTATAAGCTAAGCTAAAATGATCTAATTATCCATTTCGGTTAATGTTGCAGATTGCATTGTTCCTTAATGTTCGAATTGGATCCGGCTTATTATTTTTGGCAGACTGTTAGAGCAATTTTATAAAAGTAAGCTTGAACTTTCGATTATGTCAAATAGAATTTCCGATGCTGAGCTAATAGCCAAAGGATCTACAAAGCGAAAGTATGTTTCAATGTCCATCAAACAAAAAGTGGAATTGCTGCGAAAAATGGATAAAGGCACATATCCTTTGTTTCTCTAACCATTCCGAAATCTGTTTATCAATTTCACACTGCTCTGCGGGGGAGGGGGAAACGTCGCAGTGCGCAATGAACTGGAATTTGATCTGTCAGCACTATCCTCATCTTTACGGCAGATGTTTTTATTTTATTTGGCTTATAATTCCTTACTAAGTGTAGTATTTCATCTTGATGTCCTCCGTCTTTGATATGATTTAAATCAAATTCCTCGTCATTATAATTCATTCCGATAGTGAAGAAAGTGACACAGAGGTTATTGAAAACGAAAAAATTTCGATAACATATCAGTCTGTATTTTCGACATAGCAATTATAGGACTTGAACAGCGGAACTTTGTAACTGAGCAAGAAATTATGCCTGTTTATAGAATTAAAGAGAAAGTATTATCACATAAAACAAAGCAACTTAAGCAACTTCTTACATTGAAAGAAATGTTTAATAAAGTAAACAAATAAATGTTAAGCTTTTTTTTTTGTAAATTTTGATACCTTTTAGATCATAATTGTTCTTTATTTCATAAATTATGGTTTCATATTTTTAATTTTATAATTTCTGCATGCCATCTTACTGGATTTAAACTGATGATCTATAATCTGGAAAAATCAATAATCCGGAATCGCCGAAGTCCCGACGAGTCCGGATTAAAGACTTTTATTACTTTGTTTTTTTTTTATTTTTAATGATTTTGCAAATGTGTCAGAGAGGGCTGATCATTTCTGAAGTACTGAAAGTGCTAACGAATTACCTTCAGATAGTGAATCTGATACATATCCTGGTACATGTGGAAAACATGCAGTGTTAGGTTGTACTTTATCAAAGGTGGTGTTACTTACTTCCAAAAGTACCACCATGAAAAAAAGATGAAAGTGTAAATATGAAATGTAAATTATGTAAGATGATAGAGCAAAGTTACATTTCTTTTCATTTGTATGCATTTAATCATCATATAACCAAGAAGAGCTTTTTTTTGGTGGGGTAGAGTAGCAAGCTTCCCCGTGGTGCACCCTGGGTAATGCTAAATCTGCTACAGTAATCAGAATCTAGTGTTTTTTATTCCTAGAGAAAATCTTTTACTCTATTACGGGCTTCCAAGCAGTGCTAGTTTCAGTGCTCTTTTCGAAGCTCTGTTCATTCAGGGAGCCGATTCATGCGTACCCACAGATTTAAAATAGTAAGTGATATCTGTACAAAATTTTACCCAAGCGCTCTTGTAGGCCTCATTACAGTGTCTACCACTTTTTTGTTGAAATTCCAACTTTAAAAGGTAGTGAGCCGGAAATAGTTAAGGGACACTTTCATTGTAAAGAATTTGCATAAGAGCTTCAAATTTTTCATCAAAATGCTCTAGTAATGCGGGCTCATATTAGCCATGTAGAAAATCTTGATATCACCAGCCATATACCGACAAATAAAAAATAAAAATAAAAAAAACTTGAAGACAATGTGCGTTGTTCCAAGAAAGATAGAAACAGAAAGAATGAAAATACCTAAAAAGACTTCCATTTGGTGTGAAGATTGTCAAGTTGGATTATGTTTGGAGCCATGCTTCAAGTTTATCACATGAGAAAAATTGCATAATAATATTGAGTCAAAATAGCAGTGCTGGCTTAATTTTTATACAGTATAAACTAAGCTAAGCTGTTTCTAAAGTATTTTTGTAAACAATTTGTAATATTTTTAAATAACTAAAGCTTTTTAAATATTTCTCTTTTCACTAAGTATATAACTTAATATAAAGCAATACTGATTTTTCTTTTTTTCTTTTCTTTTTTTTTTTTTTTACAAATTTAAAATTTTTGTTTTATCAGAAAATTTCTGTTAACATTTCTAGAACAAATATCGTTTTGGTTAAAATTAAAGACAAAAAAAAAAAAAAATCTGAAAAATAATTATCTAAATATATCGTAAAAAATATCCAAAAAATATCTGTATTTTTTAACTTGTAAATAAATTATGTATGAAATCATATGTGTGCCATATTATATATAATTGGAAACTGCAAAAAGCTATTAAAATTCTTATATTATTTAAAAACTTTTGATAAAGATGTGAATAGTAAATGTAGATGGAAAAAAAATCTAAAATAAATCATCTTGTATTTCGAAGTGGGAAGTATGAAAATTGAGCCATAGGTAGAGGGTTTAAATAGAGAATGATATAAATTATTTGTTCGTGTAAAGGTTTTAGCCATAAAAATGGGTAATAAAAAAACTGAAGTAATTTTGAGATGCAAGATTTTTATATTGTATGTGATCTTGAAGACTGGAGAGTTATTTTTTAAATTTTGCATTATATTATTCCAAGATTGGGGAGTTTGGAAAAGAATGTGCTGGTAAATGGAATAACATGAGTGGTGAAGAAAAGCAACCATTTCTCGAAGTTGCAGCTCGAGACAGAGAAAGATACAGAAAGGAGGTAAATTTTTTCAATGTTTTTTCGTACTTTTTTTATTTATAAAATTAGGTTCTTGATTTTTTTGAGCTAGTTGTATGGTTGTTGTTGAAGTTAAACAACAAGAATCGGCATAATGTATATTCAGCTGCCTAAGTGCACTAAGGCATCTGAAAGCTGGTGCACTAAGCTGGTTCTGTATTTCAACCATCGAAACTAGTCCTGCAAAATTTACAAACATTACTCTGATTTTTGTTGTTTAACTTCTCCGATAATCGTTATTTGGCATGTTATTTTAATCTAAATTAGTTGTATAGATTGTCAGTTTCTTTTCATATTCATTGCTCATAGATGGCAATATATAAGCCTGCTCGTGATGTTAATAAGCCTAAACGTCCTGGTACTGCTTTTATGCTGTTCATGGCTGATTTGAGAAAAGAAATGGCCGGCAAAGAACCTGAGGGTGGTGTTGCAGCTTTAGCAAAACTAGGTGAGTTTTCCTTTTATAATCACTGAATATTTTTTATATATATGAAATGTGTTTTGTTGTGGTTAATTAAGAGTGTTTTATTAAATGCAAAAAATAAACCATCATCAGTAAACATGTTTAGGTAATAGTTTTTTTTATTTAGAAATGACTTTTTTATTTAGAAAGATGAGTACTGTATATTTTTGTGCATAGGCTGAGAATTTTTGGTACTTCTTCTAAAGTTAAATTGCTCGAATCAGCTTATATACGGATTTGCTAATCTCACGAAAAACATAGGTATTTTTCTGTTGACTGGGTGCAAGTGATAAATTGCTAAGTGTTCCACTTAATTTCTTAAGTTTATGAAAAATTTAAACAAAATGGGTTATTCATTTTATGAAAACGGGATGTTTTATTTTGAAAATTGTTTATAATGCATTGTCACCAAAATGAAAGGTCTGATGTTGGCAAAATTTGCATCCATCTTTCTTCACTCTCAAACTTGTTTTTCAATTATGGAGAAATGCTGAGCAGCCATACTGTTAGAATTTTTAACAAATGCAGTCATCTGCAGTTTGAAATTTGCAGCATAAGAATTTCTCTTCATCTCATTTTCAGACAAAAAATAAAATGACAGGTGGAATGAGACCGGAACAGTTGCCAAACATCATATACGAGAAAACAAATGAATGGAATAAAAGTACTAGCTTCGGATAAGGTTACCAGAGTTAAAATTATTGTCTCTGGCATCTGGGACTTTAAAGTAATTTGATTGGAAAATATTCCACCTATTTTACATGCTTGGTAATATTTTCGCTATCACAGTGGCATGTTTTAACATTACAAGAATTTTTTTCTCTCTCCATTTCAGTTTGGTTTTTAAAGAAAAAAGTCTTATAAGCTTATATTCAGAAATATACAATACATTATTTATTAACTATAATGGCAAACTATAGCTTCATATTTGCTTCTATGTGAGTTGATTTTTTTTTTTTTTTTGGAATCTGAGACTAACCTGAAAAGTAGTTGAACCTGAAATTATTTTTTTCCTCTAAGGGGGTGAGCGATGGAGGTCTATGACAGATGAAGAAAAACGGAAATATGTTGAAAAACAAGGCGAAGAAAAAGTTCGCTATGAAGCAAGCATGGAAGAATATAGAAAAAAGGTGTTTTGAATTTTCTTATTAATTGTAATTTTTTTTTGGGGGGGGAGGAAGATAATTAGAAGAAGGATATAAGCTTTTAGTAATAGTATGCCCACTTAATATTGCATAGTCATTTAACTTGCCATCCTAAGCCCATATTATTAAATATAACATGTAACATAGTAACTTGAACTTACATTAAATATTTTCTAATAAATTAAAAAAAAACTGGACCATTCTTTGTTGATTATTCAATGTTTTTATATAAATAGGACCAAAACTGTACACAGATCTGTGTACCAAACTGTGTACAGATCCAAAACTGTGTACCAAATTTGTGATTCAAAACTGTGTACAGATCACTGAGATTTTACGAGTCCATTCTGAAATGTGTAATAGTTTAAAACGCAAAAATAAACATAAAGGATATTATTAAAAAATCTGAAAGGTTTCAGATGTTAAATTATGTTTAAAGGGGTGTTTTTTTAAACATTTTGTGTGTTACTTTTTTTTTATTAAATATCATGTTCTATGTACTCAAACCATAAAATTCAGTTCATCAGCAATATTGCCAAATAATTTTAAAATGAGCATATCTTTAGAATTTCCAATGCAGAGTCTCGTGCACTGGAGACAATTTTTTTTTATTTCCGTACAGTGTTGCCATTGCTCGCTTTGAAATCGTTTAGTTTGTTAATCAAATATTCGTTGAAGTGTCACAAAATATGAAATTGATAATAAAACAAATTTCAAATTCAAATTAGGGCCTTCACATGCCCGTATTCTATGGAATATTACACTATTCAAATTTTGATGGCTCTGGGTGCTGTTGTTTTATCACAGTGTGAGAAACATACATACGTTCATGCAGATTCTTCATTGTTTAATTTCTTTAAATACAATACAGGGTGATAATATTTGGTGGCAACAATTTGAAAAGTGAAACAATGCAAAATGCTGAAATGAAAAAAAAAAAAAAAAAAAAAAAAAAAAAAAATTAGTCTTTTTGGGCAAGTTGCCCCTTTGGACTAGAAATGGTATTATTAAAATCAAATATAAAGAGTATTTTTAGTAAAGGTAATCATTGGTCATAAAATAATAAAATTTTCCTAAGTAAATGATGAGTTGAATGTATGAGTTAAAGAATAATTGTTGCTATAAAGAAATATTATTTTACTGAAGAGTATTTAGGTTTAGCTGTTGTCACCATGGGACCATGTTAGTCCAATGGCACTTTCTGCATTTGATTATTCAAAGCAACTGCTGTTGGAGAATGCTGTTTGGATTTGTGAATTGTGATGTTTACCAGCAGAGGGTACCACATGAGATTCGATGTTTATGACTACTTTGTTAATGTCAAGGTTCGATCTTGATTCGATTACAGCCATGGCATTGTGCTTTGAACAATTAAATTGGAATAAAATTGCACTTCCATCTCAAGTATTGAAAATCAATCTTTTGTGAAGTTGCTTCAATGCGATGTCTTTGATCGCATGGTGTATACCTTCATTTCTTAAGCATTATAAAAAGGTTACAGAATTTCCCTCTTCTTTTGAAATATCCAGTTGCTCTATTTCTTGACATGCACTGCTGGCTATTAAAATTGCTGAACCTTTAAGACAGATTCAGCAAATGTCAACCATGCATGAAAGGTACTATATGCAGGGATTTGTGAATGAGTAACATTCCACCGCATATGCATAAAGCTGGTATGAGTAATGCTATTCATGCTGTATATAAATGGGAAAATTACACAGCAGGTTTCTCATTTGGATATTGCATTTGAATGTTGGTTGCTTGTTTGAAAATTGTGTTATAAGATATTTCTCCTGCTTTCCTAGCATGCCTTCGTGGTGTAATGGTTCTGGACGCTGGGCTGGTATTCCATAGGTCCGTGGTTTTGATTCCCGGCAGTTGCTTATTTTCATCTCTCCGGCTTCCAAAGAAACCTAATGTCTCTGCAGTGGCGCCCGAACAAAAGGGTGTTGGATGATGATTCTCCTCACCCAGGATTTGGCGATTGGGTTCCCTAAAAAACCCCCAGTTGCCCTTTAAAAGGAAGGTATATAGGGTATTTCTCCCCTTCCCTAGTGTACCTTTGTGGTATAATGGTTCTGCACAGTGGGTAAGTTTTCCAGAGGTCCGTGGTTCGATTCCTGGCAAAGGCGGTTGCTCATTTTTCATCTCTCCGGCTTCCAAAAAATATCAAATGTCTCTACAGTGTTATTGCTGCATATAAGGAGGAGAAACTCATGCCATCATGTATCGGATAATGGCTTATCAGCACTATGGTTTATCCTTCCTTTGCATTGCAGCATGTGTTGATCAGGATACTATGACTGTCAGATGAGTATGGAATCAGTGGGTTCATATTGAACACCATGCAGGATCTCAGTGGCTCTAGACCACTAATGGACAGACATTTTATCCTCACAGTATTGTATATTGCTGTATCACATGATTCGAGTCAGGATATTGTCTCGTAGGTAGGATGACAAGTGTTTCCGTAGACAGTGTGACAATGTCTGCAGCACCATGGCGTGTCAAGATGGTGACTATTGTTGTAGCTTTCCTTTGCAGTACAGCAGAGACAGGTACATGTACAGTAGTGCAACAAATAAAGACACAAGACAAAGAAGTCTTAAAATCAGTCTCTGTTCTGCATGCAGCATCATGATGGACAATATCCGTGTGTGGCAGCAGTGAGAACAAATGTAACCAGCATGCATTCATCATTGTCATATGGGCCCAGCACTTAGTGTGCTGGTATGGGATGCTATTGGGTATACATCTTGGTTATCTCATGTTAACATAGCTGATAATGTGGAGAGCCACCATTACATTTCTGTTGTTTTAAGGCCTGTTGCTGTGCTGTATCGTCAAGGCCTACCTGATGCCATTTTTCAACAAGTTACTGCATGATAGCATGTTGCCTGTGCTGTTTTGAACTTCTTCAATAAAGTGTTTTACTGTAGCATTGGCCCACATTTTTTAGATCTGTCACCCACAAAGGAAAATCTTGTCGTGGATGGCCGGGATACTGGCACTCTACTGCAATGATTAAACTTTGGCAGAGTTAAAGCTACATGACATAATGTGAATATATATTATACTTTTGTAACTTAATGTATATTGATCTTAATCTAGTAGTTAAGAGTTTCAGTATGACGACTGGGAAGTTTTATTGTGCAGGATATTTTTAAATTCCAAAAATACTGCTGTGTACATACTTGACAACCAGTTTTTATTAATTATATTAAATATTTCCTGAAAAAATATGACATTGTTGTTAAATATCTTAAAAACACATATAAAATGTAGCTTTTTTGTTGACTTTGTCTAAAAAAGTTGTTGCTGCTTGTTTCATGTATCTTAAAAACCTCTAGGAAGATGTTATCCCTTTACTGCTATTTAAAACTAAAAGGCAGTTGAAAAGTGTTGCTAACTGTACAGTGTGTAAACTTCCACTGTAATTTATGGTAATTATATGCTATTGTCCTCAAAAATCTAATGCTGTATAGGTATTTGCATCTCAAAGAATGCAAATAAAGCAAATGGAAGCTTGTTCGATCTAGGTTAAACATAAAGATCTAGATGTGGAAGTGCTTAGATATTGTTAACCATGAAAGAGAGAGATTATTAAGATGTAAAGTAGAAGTGGCAAGTAGTAAATTCAAGTGGGTCAAATGTAGTTAGATGTATAGAGAGAGCTGAATAAATTGCGTGTTTGAAACAGTGAAACTTTTTTTGAAAGCTAATTAACTGCTGTGTCAACAACTTATTTGTCATTCTCAGTGTGAGAAAATCATTATCGATCATGAGATAGTTGGCTTGAGACCTCTCAGTACTGTTCTTTGAATAATACCGAAACAGTTTTATTTGGAGACAAACATCATCTACTTATCTCTGTACAGTTTTAGAACCTCTGTGATAGAAATGGAGCACTATGGCTGCTGTGTTCGATGATTCTTTCTCAAACAAGTAAACCTTTACTATGGCAACAATGTCTGATAAAAAGAGGAATATTCCAGATTCTATCCAAATGAAAATACATCCCGAATTGCTATTTGCGCTGAACTTAAAACTTCCATACCCAGTCTTCTTGGCTTCTTGATGATATCATCTGAAAATGCTATCATCTGGAGGACACAGAAAGTGGTATACAATACAGTCTCGCCTTCTTAGAAAAATGCCATGTCACTGAACAACGTTTAAACTTGCAATTTTATGTGCTTGATGTCAAAGGTATTTCCTTTTATGATTTACTGATTCATCTTATTTGCATATTTTGATGACAAATTCCCACATAGCAGTAGGTTATGTTCAATAACATGTAATAAACATCAATTTAAACTTCAGGGGAATTTATCTTTTTATGGTTTGTATAATTTTTACACAACTATCCTTTATTTTGAATTCTAGCATGAGCTGTTTTCATGTAGTTTTATAATTTATGAATGTGCAGTCAATCAGATGTAATTGACCTTTAAATCTTCAAAGCTCCCAAGAACGACTGTAATGCATTTAATTGATTGAAAATAATTGACTTTAGGTAAATTTCTAGTTTTTGAGATTTCTTTCAGCAGAGTATTGATGAAGTAAATAAAGAAATAGAAAATTGTTTTAATAATTTTTTGGATTAAATTAAGAATTTTTTTTATATTCTGCTGTTGTAATAACTTAAAAATTAATTTTAAAATCTTAGATTTGAGAAATATGAAAAGTGTTTAAATAGAAGAAAAATGTATTCTGTTAGTATGTTCATCATGTTTCAAGTAGATCTTTTTAAAAATTTTGTTTTGAATGTATGCATTTAAATTATGGAGTGAATTTTCAATCATTCTCTCTCTCTTTCTCTCTTTTTTTTTTTTTTTTTGTTCATTCTTCTAGTTTTTCTTATTTGAATGGCATTTTATACAGAATGCAGTTTGTAATTTTGTGGAAGATATCCCCACAAAATTACAAACTGCATTCTGTATATATGAGTATTTATATCTCTTCTGATTTGTATGCTACAGGCAAAGAGAATGTTGAGTTAGGAGTAAATTATATATTGAAGCCAAGATTATGTAGTTTTTAACTTGTATTTTAAAAGACCTAAATTTGCAGTTTTAATTTTTAGTATTGAAGCTATTTTGAATAAACTCATGCAGGATATGAACTACAAATTTTTATTTTATGAAGTTGTATTATTCTGTGCAATTTTAATTTGATTAATGAGGATATATGAGGATTAGTTGTCATTTATCACTTCTGAAAACATTTGTTGAGTTGAATGTTTACAGGCTGTTGCATGTATGCAGGAATTTTTTTGTTGATTTATTTTCTTGTTTTGAAAATCAATACATTAAGTTGTGCCTTGCAGAATGTGTAATGAGCCTGTACTGTGTGATATATATTTCATACACAGCAATATTTAATTCATTTGAACTTTTATATGTGTTTTATTGAAAAGGCTATATAGCTTGAACAGTATGTAAGGAATATCCTTTTTAGTTTCATTTTTAGGTACTTCTTATTGAAATGGACTTTATCTCATAATTTTTAGAGAAATTTATTTGATATCATGTTTTATGCCTCATTTCTATATTTTCTCAAAGTGGTAGTTTTGTAACTAGTCTTAGTAAAAAATTTAGTTGTTTGCTAAGAATAAATATGCTTAACTCTTATCGCATTCTTATCATATTATTGTAATTTTAATTTTTTACATAGTTTTAAAGGTTATAATTTAAAATATTCAATGTATATTCTAAATAATAGCAGTAATATCCAAGTAATATCAGTGGTTATTGTAGTCAGATCTTTAATAATTCATTAATTAGTAATGTGAAAAAAGTTGGTGCAAAATACAGTAAAATAGGGCATGAGTTAGATTTCTATATACTTTTCATGCATTATTTTTATTCGACTTTGAATGCTGTAATGGTGATAGTCTCCTTATAGATAGCAGATAGTAGTACTGTCTACACTAAAAAATACTTTCTTTCACACACTACTGTCTACAGGAGTATAGCTATCCCATGTTTTGTGAAAACATTCTTTAATCGCAGCAAATAATGAACTTCAATATCATCCTCATCTAGACAGGCATACATAGAAACTGTAAGCACTAATTTCCCTCCTAAATGGATTTAAATGACCATGAGATGTTGCTAGATAGATCTGTTCTTCTCTCTCACACATCTGGCTCCTGTACATGACATCCATTTCATTCCCACCAGCGTATCCCAACACATCATTATAAATACCATCATCTCTGAGGATTGGTTACTGTGTTTCTGATTTTGGAAGGTAAAACTCCATGAGCACCAGTATTTTAATGTTATCTAGGTTTTTGAATTTACTGTATCATTCCTGTTTTTATGTTTATTTTTGTGTTACTTCTTACACTATTTGAAAATATTATGCTTAAAAAGTTTTCTGCAGCTATTTGATAATAATTGCTTTTTTGACAATATAGCTTATGAAAAGTTTTATGAGAATGGTTTATTTTCATGAAGGCAAATTATTAGATAGAGCATATATTAATCTGTAACATCTGAGTTGCATTTTACTTGTTTAAATTTTTATTATGTTATCATACATTGTCACTGAGCATGGACTAGTTAAAAATTATTTCATCTAAGTAACTAATTTGCCCAGATCTCAGTGAAGTGATTTAGAATACAGTTTAATTTACATCTTGAGAAAATTCATTTTTATTGTAGCAGATTTTGTTTATTCAAGTTCCAGGCACTTCTACATAATTTTGAAATTTAGCTTTAGTTTCCTGCCTAGTAATTTAATACACTAGAATTAAGTGCATAAAATTTATTCTGAATTTTCTGTTGGCTTTGGTATAAAGGTACATTAATACATCAGAAAATGTTCATGTCATTTAAAGGAATATAAATATTGAGATAGTTTTAAGTTATCTGCTTAACAGTGAAATTGCAGTGTCAGGAAAGTAAGGTTTTAGAAACACAGGATCGAAAGATGTGAATTATACACAAACAATTAATAATTGGAAACCAAATATTCAAATTATTTTGATAAATTCAATTTAGAATATGATCACAATATGCAGCAATACACGTGCTAACATGCTTTAACATGTTATCAGTGAGGTCATTCAATGTCTGAGTGCATTTTTGTTATGATACAGGCACTTGAGCATGTAAAGTGCTAAGATTGACAGTTGTTTCTTTGAGTTTCAGCTATTAAGTCATTCATTGAGCAGATTTTGGACATCGCTGATCAGCTATTGTTTAATGTAGCTGATCAGTGATTTCCGTAATATGCTCAGCGGGGAGACAAGTCTGGAAGTATACCAGATTATGGCAGAACATCAAGTCCAGTCCAAGCTATTCACAGTAGATAAAGCAACATGCAGTCAGTCATTGTTGTCATAAAAAATAGCTTGTGGAACATTTGTAAGAATGGTTGTAGCACTACTTTCATGACCAAATCAACATAACTGAGCAGAAATGAAAACTAGATGAGTCTACCTAATGTATCTTGCTATCTTACATCATTACTATGTAGAAGGGTCAGTATGATTATCATATGTGAAAGCGTTGACCACGTGGTCTCCAGGCCAGTCTCTGACAATCACTGCTTTTTAGGTAGCAGGTAGCTCCATTCTGCTCTCCTTTGCATCATGGATGCATATTGTGGTTGTTTTTGAGAGAGGTGGCTTAGTTGTCAAGCAGTAAATATCACTAGTCATTTGGCCTACAGCTCAATATTGTGTAAGCATCATCTGATTATGTGTATAGTTATTGCTGAACCTTCTAAACTTAGTAGGTAACGTCCAAGTTAATTAGAATTAGGATCACTATGTATCATTCTTCTAATCCAGTAGTCCTAATCTGTCCAAGTACATGTTTGCTTTTGGTGAATACTTGTTTTTATACAAGCAGACAGTAGTGGCTGGTCTAAATAATAATCAAGCAGAGTGATTAATCAACGTTTCTGAGATCATGGACTCTGCCTTTTCCATTTATGATAGGTGATGATAAGTGACATGTTGACTACCTTAAGATATTACGTTATTGAACCACAAGACATTCCACTTCTGAAAGCCCCATGTGGCAGAAAGAATTGCATTTAATCAGGTTTTTATACTATTCACGCCCCTTCTGGTTGTCGCTGATTAGAGCTAGGCATAAATTTGATCATTTAATGTCTTAACTACACATGCAGTACCCTCAATTCATATCTATAATATATATAAAACCTTGGTGTTGTAATTTCAGTGTTGAGTTTTGTATTTTGATTGTATACTAACGTTTACATTGTGTTATGATTGTATACTGAAGTTAACTATTTTTTTCTCTCTAAATTGCAGCAAAGCATTGCAAATATTTCACCTATTAAAGCCCCTCGTCCTGAAGAGCCTTCTAATGACAGTTCTGATAGTTTGGACTTGCCAAGTGCAGCAGCAACTTCTCATTTACCTCAGTTATCTCAAGCAACATCTAATTCTGGTTCTTCAACACCTTCACCTACTGAAACTCCTACACCTGCATCACAGTCAAATAGTACTTCCCCACCACCTCCCACTCTAAGTCCTGGCCCAACTGATCCTCCTACTTCAGAAAGTCCTAATAGTTCCATGGCTGCTCTGTCATCACTTACCAATCCAATGTCTTTATCTCATGCAATGGCAATGGGATATGCTCAGCATACACTATCTAATTTTGCACATGCAAGTGGGATGTTGATGCATAATCCCAGTTATAATCAAGTACATACAACAATGCCATCATCTGCATATTTAACATCATCAAGTCCTAATTATAATCAGGCTCACATGCAAGGTGGACCATATAATTGGAACTAAAAATATGATACTCATGCATTCTGCATTTATTATGTTTGTAATTTGTTTGTTTGTACTTGGCATTTGTTATAATTTTTGTTATATTTTTATTCTGTGATGATTCTTTTTGTATTCTGTGGATTCATTTTCTTGTTGTAATGGCCCCTAACTGAAAGGTGGGAAATTTTTATTCTTGTCATTGAATGCCTGGTTTAAAATAAAATGACAGTGCAATAGCATTAAAACTTTCCCCTGCAGTATACAACTTTATATCATTCCTTTAAGTAATATATGTCTTAGTATAGTTACTGTTTAGACTGTTGATCAGGTACTCTTTTTTTTTCATTCTATTTTTTCTATTTAGCATGAATTAAGGGGGAAAAAGGAATTACATAGCTTCAGTAAAGGGGGGCACATGTGCCAAGTATGAATATTACTTAATTATTGGAAGTAAGTTAAGTTTTAATTTTAAATTTATACTTTTCAGTATGATATGCTGTATATTTGGTAATGTTAAATTTTATCCATACTTAGGAAATTAGTATTTTGTTCATGTTTTTATTCATTCATAAGAAAAACTAAATTGTTTTATTTAGAAAAACTGTGTTTTTAAACTTCTTATGGCCTGAAATATGAAATATTTAGGGCTGTATTGAGCATTTAAAAATTTAAGGCTAAAAAATCCTGGAAGACTGAATGAGTCTTGTGGATTTAAAATATTAATGAATCTCATTAGTATACTGTCACATAGTTAAAATAATTAATCTAATTATAAATATTCAACATTGGAGTGACCTACCTCAATAACATAGAACGAGGCCATTGTATTATATCCTGGTCGTGTGTTCAATATTATTAACAATATTAATGGAAATATGAAATACCACTACGTAAAGCACTTCTACATAATATATGCATTTCCAGTATGAGTGTTCAATTTTTAATGTACAATTTTTATTATGATAAATATTCATCTTTTCATGTGTAATAAGTATAGAATAATCATTGATTTGCAAATGCATTCAACTATCACAGACATTTTTTTTTTTTTTTTTTTAAATCTGTTTTGAGTTGATGATGCTGTTGAATGAAAGTACAAATCTAGAATATACTTGTATGGTATTTAGCCTTCCTTGTATGCTTTGGTATAAAATGCCAATTTTCCTCCTCAAATGTTTTAATGTGATTTTAATCGTGAGCTGTTCAAGATTTATATGCATTGCATGTGTATTGTGGTATTAAATACCAGTTCTTTTTCATGTATTATGTAGCTCAGAATGTGAACTTGATTGTTAACTTTAGTTTATTTTCCATTTATATTTAATATTCCATGCAGACTAAAATCATAGTTTATCTTTTAAGGTACATCCTGCAAGTATATAATATTGTCAGCAAATTGTGAAGCACATTAGCTGAACTTGTGTCTTACAGATGTTATGTTGACTGAAGTTAGGCACTCAGGGAATAACAGTACTTCTTTATAATACACTTGCAATATTTAAATATTTCCTACATTTTTGAATAATAATGTTGGTCACATGTTTTCTTGCCAGTTTAAAATATTTGCTATGATTAAAAAACTGAAGCATGAATATCTGTTAATATTTTAAAGATACTTCATTTGAAAAATTTTTATGTAGAGAGATTTTATTTAAAAAGTTATTTTTTAGCTCATGAAGACTATTATAAATTTTGGTTGAATTGAGTTTTGTAAAGCTACTATATAGATTTAGTAAATGTGTTTACAAATTGTTTTTTATGTAGTAATTGTTACATAAATTATATTTTCATAAATTTCAATTTGTTTCTTAGCTCGAATTATAAACTGTGTGGAGAAGATATATTTGTGTTATGTTTATCATTACAACTTTTTAAGCATTATGTTCTTGAACTTTTTATTCCCTGTTTCAGATTTTTTTCAATTTTTAAAAAGATGGTATCTGAAAGAAACTACCATGTTCTACTATGAAATTATTAGAATTTAGTTCTTATTTGGACACTTTCTATATTAATAACTTAATTATATCATTAGTAAGAAACTAAAATAGTCTCATATCAGCAGTTTATTATGCCTGGTTTTGGTATTACTTTAATATTATTTTCTGATTAAAATTCTTGTCATATGCAGACACTTTTTTTTTTTACTTTGCTTTGCTGAAAATGTCATGGTGGCACAGCTAAAAACATCATCAAATTTTTGCATTACTTTGGCTCAGAAGAGTGTAACTAGTGCCAGATTTTTTAATAGTTAAACCCTTTCTAATAGATATGTTGATTTAGGAAATGTAAAAAATAATAATTTGCAGTTTTGAGGATAAGTGAAGATATATTGTAGAAGTACACTAACATTTTTAAGATTCACTGTATGGAAGTTATATACTTTTACAGTTAATTTTTGCCTGCTGATATTGTTTTATTTGATCATATTGGATCTTTTGTAGTGTGTAATTTTTATCACAGGCAGAATCGGTTTTTAATTGTTGAGTGTAAATCAGAAATTTAAAAATGTCATGATTTTTGAGGAAATTTTAATATTTATTATAGCGTAAATGCCTACATTGATTTGAGGAAGGTCCTGTGTAAAATAACAATTGTTACTTGCCTGGTGCTTTGCTACTTTAATTTTTTTTAAAGTAATTTCTTTATCTTTTATTATTCAAAAAATTAGAATGAAGTTGCAGTGATTGAAATAGTGAAAGATATCACTTTGGGGGGGGGAAGTTCCCATAAGAATGTGAAAATGAGATTCACTTGTCACAAACTGAAAAGGTATAATGAAAACATTTAGAATGCATACTGCCTTCTATTACCATGAGTATACTTTATGAATAAAATTTTTGATTTATGTTCCTTGAACCAATAATTTAAGCATTTACAACTGCAGTGATGAATCAGCGAACTTTGTAAGTAATTTTCTGTTTTACATTGGCTAATAAAGGTATCTGTTTTTTAAATGGGGGAGAGACCAGAATTTGAATACATACAAAAAAAAAAAAAAAAAAAAAAAGAAGAAAGTAAATCAATGCATTATTTTGTGTGGTCTGTGAGGTGCGGTATGAAGAAACTTGCATGTATTGTAAAAATTGACTTAAAATTTGGCTTCAAAAATAAGTGTGTTAAAACTAGTGGATATTATGTTACAAAAAAAAATATTATAGAATATGTGAAATAGAAAGTGTTGATAATTTAGATGCAAAACAGAATCTTTCCAATTCTGAAATAGATAACTTCTGTTAACAGGAATCATCTCAAACATGTAAAAAATAAAGGAAATTAGAAGTCCTGGCCAGTGGCATAAAACTAAAAAAAAAAGAAAGGGGTTTGATAATGGAAATATTTATAATTGAAAGGGCATCTAAAATTTAAAAGTCTAAAAACAAGTTAGAGACTTGTTTTTTATGAAATTTTAGTTTACTGTTATCTGTGCCAGTAATGAAAAATTTAGGTTTTGTTAGCTGTGCCATCATTTATAATGAGATATTCTATGCATTTTGTAATTATTTTATGAGCTGAGTGTAATGACTTCTATGATTCTGAGTGTGTTAAATATAAATTACATTAACAAAATTCTATAGAAAATTTTAAAAAAAAGGTAAATGGCTTTTGTATTTGAAAGTTAATGCATTGAATGCATTATTGCCTTCATATATTACCTAAAGCATTCCTGAATTTGGTTACCATGACATTTTTTTATGAGGTTCTTTTGAAATCTTGTTTTTTGAAAATGAGGAATAATATAGCTTTGTACTTAATATTTTGCCTTATGTTAATCTGAGAAAGCATAGGAATTTAAATTTGTGAAATTTATGAATTTTTTACGTGTTTGTATGTGTTTGTTTTTAGAAAATGCTTTAAAAAAATCTCCTGCAAAATATGTGGCTGACACGCACAAATTTGTTGCATTACAAGTATTTTGTTTGGAGTAGTATTTTCGTAGCTGTGCCGTTTCTTTTTCTTTTCATATCTCTGCGATATTTTTAGAAATGTTTTTACAGAATGTTTTGTATAAATATCTATTACTTTATTGACTTGTGCGAATCTTATGAGTGTGTGTTTTTCGTGTTTGAATGTAAGTTTTTAATGTCTGCAGCACAAGCGTCACAATTTTAAAGTATTCTTAACAATAAAGCCAAAGTTTTTTTTTAAATATTGTGTTTTGCTTTTTCAGCAAATTTCTTGTATATACATTCCATTTGTTTTATCTTTTTTGTTTTTATAGTTGAAAATGTTATTTTTTATATTGTTTTTGTGTGGTTATCAAAAAAGCATCTGAATTATTTCTCGTGTAATTGCTGTCCAAAAAATGGCTTTTTTTATGTGTTGCATGTTATCCTGTTTTTAAATAATTAAGATATGGATTACAATAATTTCCATTATCACTTTCTAGCCAAATTTTCATGCAAACTCATCTGTCATATTTTAGGGCTGTATCATTTCCTGAAAAGATTAATTTTAAAGTGAGCATGAAAAATTTGTATGAGCAGCTTCATGTTTCTTTGGAAGGAAATAAATTTGACATTCTGCTTTTTTCTTTCTATTTACCTTATTTTGGCATTAAAATATGCCTGTTCATGTGTAGTTGATCTGTGTTAATTGAATGCTGTTTAGATTTTGAATGATTATGAAAGTGCATGCATCTTGGAAAAGTAAATAACACTTCATGTTGCTACTGCCATTTTTGTATTTGGAAGGTGTAAGGTATGTGCTTTGATTGTGGGAGATTACTTTTTGTTGGGAAGGTATTTATATCATTTATGTATTATTTTTCAGATTTACATTTTAATGGTAAGTGTAACATATCAAGTGCATATAGCTTGTTACATGGGGTTCATGTTTGGTGTGCAATTTTATGCAGGTTTTGTATAAAGAGTAATTGAAAATATGTCTTTCAGGATCTACAAAGTAGCCTTTAACTTAACATGCATACAATTTAACACTTTTGAAACATGTAAAATTTAGCTTTTGTTGTAATTGAACAGAAAAATTTGTGTTTAAAATCTCTAGAAAAGCACCTGAATTTAACAAACTCTTTTATATGGAAAGAATACAAAGTTTGCAATAAAGAATTACATTTAAAATTATTTGCAGTTGAAAGAATGCTACGTTTCGTTTGTATTTAGATGAAAAATTAGTTAAGAAACTTGCATAGAAAAGCATTAAATTTTATCCAATTTATTCTGAGGCTATAAAGAAGGAGAAGTTTACAGACAAGCTCAGAAAATTTATAGTTTTTATCAGTAATAGTGCATCTTCTGATTTGACGACATCCAAACAGCAATACTTTAATTCTTGATTCTGTAGGAAGAAATGTGTGCAGAGAAATTGATCTCATAAATGTTAAAAGGATTTTTTTTTTAATGGAGCAAATGACTTAATAGGTTTGACTTACATTTTTTATATAGTGGTCATATATTTCATTTTTGACATTAGGAACGCTTTAGCATATTATTTGCAAATGTTTTGGATCAGTTATGCTACCATGCATTTATCATCCATATGACCTGGCAACTGTTGCCATAATAGAGAACATAAAATCTTCAATTTAACTGCTATTTGGCCTGGCAAATGGCCATTATTTTTATATTGCAGTTAGATCTTTATCTTTCAAATAATACTAATATCGCATAACAAACCGGACAGTTTCTTAATAATTTAAATATGTAGGTTTTGTAAAAGCTGTCCGATTGCTGTAACTGAAAATATAATATATGCAACTGAATTTTTTTTGAGCTTTTTGCAGCATTATTGTCACTAATATTGTATTTCTGATAGCACGTGTTATGTAGCTTGGTTCATAATCATTTGGTTTTTATTTCTGAATAGTATGAGAAATTCTAGTTAAGTATTTTTGATGTTAAGAAACATTTATATCATAATCATCCTATTTTTTTTTTTATAATGCACGTTAATGCTGCACTACTAATCATCTATGTGGCTTGACGGATTACCAGTTCCGAGAACTTTTGCTATTCATCCTGCGTAAGATCCTTAAAATCATAAGACACCATTTGAAATTATTTCAAAAGCAATGTACCTACTTTTTATTTTATGATATTCACACCATTAGGGAAACTGACAAAATACATCAAAGGGTGACATTTAATATAATTTTCTTTGCTAGCATACTGTACTTGATAAATCAAATGTGTATCAGTATTTATTTTAAATGTTTTTATTTAAAATTATATATCTTCTTGTGAATTCTGAAAGTGCAAGTGCCTCTTAAATGAAATAGAAAGCAAATGCCCAAGATAATTTTATCCATTAATTGACTTTAAATTGCATATTGCTGAGAGCCATCTAGAGACCTTAACAAAATCAAATTCAGTAGAAATGTTTCAAAATATTCAGAAAACACTTCTGCATATGACTATGTGTGCCTTTAAAGTGAATGTCTGTATAGTTACAATTTGCTTACTGAATAAAAAACTTGACCAGGTAATTTAAAAAAATTGATTGAACATAAAGATGGCTGTATAAGCTTTATACATTTTATTAATGTGGTGAATCAGTATCCCCCCTTTGTGCATACCTTTCACATGAAAATATTTAATTTTAATATTAATTTTAATATTGTGCTATTGAAATGGTGACAGATGCATTTGCAACACAAAGTTGCTCATTTATGCTAGTATTTATTATCTTTGATAATAACTATGAGACTAAAATGTGTGTTGAACTCTCAACCTTACTGAAAGTGTTTTGCAGTCATACAGAGAGGGAAAGATCATTATGTAGGCCTGTTTGTTATATATACAAAATGATGAATATTAATATGTACAAGGAGATACCAAGAATATGCTGTGTGATGTTTCGCAATTAAGCTTAATAAAATATTGTAGTTATTTGACTCGTTACGTGTATGGCGGTATTTGTGTTTAGCTGGAAAGTGCATATTCATAAAAGATATAGCAGCCTCATCGAGCTAGATTTTTCACAAGTTAGTAGTTTTCTCTTCCACAAGAGATGAGTAAAATTATTTATCTGGATTCGGTGCTCATAGAAGATGTGTCATGTCTATCCAAGCTGCTTATTAGAGTAGAGTAATTTCTTCTTTTTAAGCAAAATTAATTTTTTTAAAACTTTTAGTTGTGTGATTGGCTAAAAAGTAAATATTGAAGTAATAATCCTGCTTGTATGTTGGTTAATATAGTAGAGAATATATGATGTACCTTTCAATTTTTATTTAATGTCATGAAAAAACTGGCACATTGAAATGGTGCTATAATTTTTGTTAGACTTTGTGGCTTTATGTAGCTTTGGCACTTAACTTGCAAACAGGACCTTATGTTTATTTTAAATTTAAAAATTAACGCATGACGCATATTTTGACACAATGGGTTATATTCAGTTTGACTTAAAGTAAAGGAAATTGTTATGCATTGAAATGCTGAGTTATTTTTTACTGTGAGATACACAGAATGTTAAAAATTAAGTTTTGGAATTCTCATTCAACTCATTTTTTCCCCTCTCATTGAGAATGAATGTAAAAAAAGAAGAGCTCTTAGTTTTTAAAATTATCAATATTTAGGTATAACTTTCAGTGTAATTTTCATATGAAAATTAATGATATGGGGAGGTGAAGAAAGAAGAATATGGAATGCACCCTATAACTGTGTGCAGTAGCATTGAACTGAGCATGACGAGTTTGAGAAAATTATATCAGATAAGTCTCATGAGTTTTGAGAAGATTATACGTTTAACATTGATTTTAACCATATTAAAGTTAAGTTTAACCATTAAAGTTAACATTGATTTTAACCGTTAACCATGACATTGATTTTAACCATTAAAGTAAAAGACGAGATAAGTCTCAGTTTTGAGAAGATTATATATTTAACATTGATTTTAACCATTAAAGTTAATGCATTTCTACTGACCATTGATGCATGTTACCCTTTAGATGGCTGTGTACTTAACTTCCAAATGGAATGATTTCTTTTTCAGACTTTACTTAGAGCATAATGTTTGTCCAGAATTCACTGTTTCATCAAAAATGATTTAAGTACTTACCAGTAGTAAGCTGAATATAATGTTTTACTTTTTGATTAAATTCTTGACTTTTCTTTGTTATAAATTACTGTAACTTGAAATTATTTCAGTTAAAATTAGTTTGTAAATAGCTTTATTTGTGTGAATTAATAGTTCTTATGATGCATAAAATTTCTTATAATCGGGGTAATTTTGTGATGTTAGGTCTTGCTTTTTAATTAACATAAAAATCTATTCAAAAATAACTCAGTAGTATCATTATTTTATAATTGTTTTGAAATCTTTTAAACTTGGTAGTGATTGAATATGAACAAAATATTGAATTTTGCTCATTTATTTTCTATATTATTGTTTCAAGATTACTATTTATTTTAATTTCTGTGTAGAAAATTTCCTGAAGCTTATTCACATATGCTCTTCATATTATTAGTGTGTTGTTTTTTAGCTTTATCATTAATTCATTAAAAAGCATGTTCATGAGCAAATAAATATTTATTATGATAATAGAAAATTTTTCATCTGAATCTATATTCATCTCTTCTGCTTTTAAACTATAGTTGTTATTGTTCAAATTTATAAATGCCATTTAAATCAATGAGTATAATTCGATTCAGTAATACTAATTTAAATTGCATATAGTACTGCTGCAATGCCAGATATTTACAAAAAAATCCATAATTATAATTTTATTTTTAATTAATATGTTCATGTGAACATGCTTATCCTTCTATCTTTAACATGTTGACTGCTGTGGAGGCACTCGACCTGGCTACACTGCTGTGAGGCCACCAGTGACTGGCGACATGACCAGTAGTAAAAGTACATAATTGGAGTAAACATCAATATAGTTCGACCGCCTCATCCACGACCATGAGTGCAATCACGCATGCACTATTTGGACCGATTTATTCTCAAAATACGGTGGAAGGATAGGAACTTTCTTTCCCTTGAGCATATAAATTTTCTTCTTTCGGATGTCTTCACGTGACCTTTCACGTCGCAGCAAGTAATATCATCCTTTTTGGAAGAGTCGTCGTGTTTTGGCAGAGTGCCAGCCAAGGTTGCATTTGAGACGGTTGAACTATACTCATAAATTTTTAAATAATACATTGTTACCATAATGGTTTAATAATAATAAATTGCAAAAATGGTCTACAGCGCTCCAAAAACAAAAAATGTGTTAAACATGATTGTGTAACTCGCCTAATCTTCTGTAGATAATATTTCAACATAATATACATCACATAATAAAAAATTCATGTTGGTGCCATGGGCAAACCTTGTGAAAAGCATATGGCAGTCAGTGTGTTAAATGGTGTCAAACCCCAAATAGTTTTTTTCTTCCTACATATCATCTTTTAATTGTGTTCAATATGCATAATTTATTTTTAATGGTTCAATATGCATAATTTATTTTTAATGGCAATAATAAGGGAAAAGTTATATGTTTTAAATAAAGCTTTTTGATGTTTTGAAGTTCTTAAGAATTTGTTGTTCTAAGTAAAATACTGTCAGGTATTTTCTTAAACTTTCAAATGCCCTTTAAGTTTTTTCCCCTGCTGTTTTAGTAACTTTTATGCCTTTTTAAATTTCTTATCCATAGCCCAAGCTTCTAATATTTCCCTAAGATCAAATTGTTTTACATAAGTACAGAAAGCCTGTAATTTTGCGTAGCAAAAAATTATCACGTGGAGGTAGAGATAGTATTGTAAGATATTTTAAAAGCAATATTCGTTGCAGAGTAAAAGCAATAAATAAGTGATAAAATTTGTCCTTTGTTTGGCATTATTTTAAATGAAAAGGTTTGGTCTCCCTTCGGAAGGTAGAATATTGGGGTAAGCAAGCACTCTGGTTTAAATTACCATGAATGAGTGATTGAAAAGTTCTGATTGATGTGTATCTCTTGCATCTGTTCTGAACACTTATTAGAAATATATTTTTTTAATAACAAAACAAGAAGTATTTATACATATGTACATAGTGCTCCCAAAATCTATAACTTCAAAATTTTATAAAAATTGGGAAATTATGTGTAACTGAATATGGTTTGGCCAGAAATAAAATGCAAGAAAATTTCTCCAGAATGGGGTATTGGATAAATCTCTAGGCCAATGTTTTAGTGATGGAGGATGCTTATATGAGCTCAACAGGAGTCCTCACAGTCAGGAAGTACTGAAAATAACATCGAATAGCTTTTTCTATTAGTGAATACCATGAAGAAATACTTTTGTGATATATAATAGATTTCTTGCATGTATATAAATCATTTCCAATTAAATTGTGATCCCTTCTGTCGATATTGCATAGCACCCCTCTCTTAAAAGCAGCTGAACTAAATGTTTGCCTGTTACAAAAAGGAAACCTTGCTTGGTACTTTCTTGCAAACTACACTCTACTATATCCATTGTTAATTTTTTTTATTTTTTTTATTTTGTGGACTATGGATTACTTCGTACTTATTTTATGTAATTTTTAAGCAACTTTTTTCTTTTATTTGAATGTTTTGGAATGATAATTTATTTCTGTGTGCTATTTTTTCCCTCAGCACATTCAATCTGGATTCATGAAATAAATTTTAACCATACTTATATTGCATTGATCCAAATAATTGTATAATTTTTCTGATATTCAAAAAATGTCTCTGTAAATTCTTGTGTATTTATTAAGTATATTTAGTGCAGAGTTTTCTGCAAGAAGTTTAATTCTTTTTTCATTGTATCATATTTGATTAAATTTCTGCCTTTAATTTTCTGTTTAAATTAAAAAAATCTTTAAATTTGTTAGTCTTAACATTGGTCTTAGTAATTAACTGTTTGAAATCCAGACCCTTTCCCTTTGCTAACCTGTATCCCCAAAATACTGAACCACCCGAAATACTTTTCCAGTTTCACAGCAATTTCCTCCCCTCCCCGTCCATTAACGCAGAAAATAGGTGTGAAGATTTCGAATGGCATCCTTTGTTCTTTCTAATAGATTGCATTAGCCTTTGACCCTGTTCTTTATAAAACTATTCTGAAGGTCATACCAACAAGCCTTTCTGGCTTTGTTATGATCACGACTGGGATTTGTTTATTTCCATTATTTTTATGGGAAGGAATAAATTGATTTAAAATAAATATAATCCTTAAATTTTTAAACTGCACTTTTATTGCTGTTTAAAGCTTAAAGCACACTGTACCACAAAAGAATCAACAACGAAATGCCATGAGCAACCAACCTATAAGGACAAGCTGTCTGCGGTAAACTGATATGCATTTGGGAAACTGCACCTGCTACTGCATATGTTAGGGAGAGGGAAGAAAACAAGATTACAATCTCGGCTGTTTTTGGGTGGTTCTGGTTGTTTCAATATAGATCTGTGTGGGGCAGATTGGTTGTGAAAGAGTTAAGGTAAAATAACATGCTGAACAAATATTAATTTAGAAGTCAAACAACAACAATCAGCATTATATTTGCAAATTTTTGCTGAACTCGTTTCGATGGTTTTATTGAACCGTCAACCTCAGCTGCCAAAGTGCAAATGAAACTGATGAAACTGCACTTTGGCAACTGAGGTTGATGGTTCGGTAAAACCATTGAAACAAGCTTTGTGAATATTTGCAAATATAATGCTGATTGTTGTTGGTTGACTTCTAAATTAATATTGGTCTTAGTAGTTATGATGCCCAAATGCTTCAATTTAGAGCCTGGTTTGAAAATGTAAATTTCTCATAAGCAGGCTCTAAAGTGATTTTTAATTTCTATACTGTCTTGTAGTCAATCATGAATTTATTGTTTGATTAAAGAAAAAATTCATCAATGAAATATATATCGGAATGAATTCTGTACTTTTAGAATTATCAATAATATATATATATAACAGTGTACTGTAATATCCAAAAAATAATAATGTAATATAAAAAAATAATGAAATATCAAGTTGTTGGGGAAGTTCTGGTTGTTGGCAAGTGTATCATGAATTATTATTTAATACAGAACCACACATTGATCATTGGGAAAAACTAAATATCTCATAACTCAGCAACTAGAAATGTGGAAGTCTGGATGTTGCAAAAGATAGTAGAAAATTTCCCAGCCTTAGTAACAATTTGGGAGGATGTTCAAATTGTGTGAAGTCTTGAGCTATCTTCAAAAAAAAAAAAAAAAAAAAGTTAGCTGCCGAAAGTGATGATTACATCTGTTTGAGTTTATCAATGAAATGTTGCAGTTGCTAACAGTACAATTTGGTGATAATGCCAGTGCCTAATAGGAGCAGCTTTAAACCACTATGCCACTGGAATTCAACAGATACAAAATTGTTCTTAAGCTCATGTATCAGTCAAATTTTAAAATCATTCCTGCTAATTGAAGCAGTTGTGGGTACTCACCCTTAGTCAACTCTCCATATTAGGTAGTAGAGTGAGCTTGCAAGCTTCCAGAGTGATAGTTTACTCAAACTCAGCTACACTGCACCTGCCCAGAACTTTTCGCAGGGCGGAATATAAAATTTCTATGCACCATAGACCCAGACCCAATCCCTGGGGCTAGAATTTATGTCAGTCACATTGAAAAGGCTGTAAAGCTTATGAAACCGATGAATAGATTGGGCATCATGCTATCCATTGGCCTGGTTGACATTACTAACCTCCAGGACAGCATAGGTTGTCCTTTTGGATAGTAGGAACTGGGCTCATTTACTTTATGCCCTCTGTTTCGAGAGTATAATGTTCAGCCAATATGTATGACTATCAGAGTATAATGTGGAGCTGGTAGGTATGACCCCCCAGGGTGTCATGCACAGTATGTGATCTGTTGCAAACTCGTATCTGAATGCTGGCCAATTTTTAAACTTTGTACTGTCATTGTGAAGGCATGAGAATCAATATATTGCATTGTTTTTTTCATTGGACCTTTTCCAATTATGTTAACACAGCAGCTTGACTCAGTAACTTTGAACCTGAACATGAAGCTGTAGAGCAGAAAGTGACGGACAAAGAGCTAACTTAAGAAGTATGAGCGCTTGTGCTTAAAGATTATGTTTGGTAGCAGTGAACTATGTTGCCACATACTTTCTTTTCATATACCTGTGTAGCAGAAACTGAAAACATTATAGTGAAAAGAATTTTAAATAAGTGACCAGAAATTTCCCAGAAGTGTAACCATTAGCCTAAAACTGTTTTTAAATTCCTAATTTTTACATAATGTATTTCATGTGCAATGTTTCTAATTACTTTTGAACATGAGTTTTGTTAAGCTTCTGATTATTATTTGCAATTTTCGTATAACAGCCTTGTATTTAAAATTCTCATACTTTTAAAGAAGATGAATCTCGAGTTAATTTTAAGCTGAGGCTTATATTTTATTATATCAAAGAAACATTTGTTTTTAGACTTTAGTAAAGCAGAATTCCAAAATAATGCAACAGTTTGAGCATGATAGTTCTCCACTTTTGGTTCAAGAAGTATTTGCAAGAACATTATTTGAACTGGATGTATTGGTTATTTATTTATAAATACTTGCCATTGTTTATGTTCTTTTAATCTCGGAATAATTACTGAAGTGCACTTTAACACTTTACTGACCGCTAGCGGTTCAACAGCATTCGCACGTCTGACAGGTCGTTTAGCCGCAGATTCTCCAACGCCAGCTGTTTTTCGGTTTAACGCAAGTGAGCAATGTACCTCAATACTAATAACAAAATGCAGATGATATAGCAAATGGCAATTGTTTATTGCGATGGCTACCTATTGATAGGTTATTTTTAGGTAGCCCAAGGAAAAAAGTGATTAATGGGCTATCGGCTGGAGGCGATGGCAAAAAATGACGATTAATAGGCTGTCGGTTGGTAGGCATTGGCAATGATAAGCCGATTAATAGGCGATCAGTCGGTAAAGTGTTAATAATGTTATTAAATGCATCCTGCTTATTTTAAATAATTTTTAATAGTTTCCTATTGTATTAAACGTACTTTTATGACTTATTTTAAATTATTGAAGAAGAAAATCTATTTACTAAATTCGTGCAAAATTTAGAAATTTTGGCTATGTTAAAGATCGTACGCATATTGATTGACTATATTTGAATTTGTCTGGGGGGGGGAAGGAAGGCAGGTATTGTTAAGTATGTATTTTGTATGTTTGGGGACATTTTTGTAAAACAAAATATTTTGTTTAAAGTTATTTTTTGTATATTTTATCTAGATTTGTGTAAAGCAGTCAAAATAGCCTCTTATGAATCTTAATTTTCTTATTGTCTGTAATATGTTGGCTATTATATATATTCCTACATTTTTCTCATAATGTATCAATTTTTGTATATATAGCTGCATATGTTCTTATAGTTCATATTTCACACTTGTGTGACAGTTTTATGTGAAAAGATTTAGATTAACTGTTTTAAATACATTCAAACTTCACTCCTTATTGTGATATATTTTACATAAAATCGAGTTAATGATTTTTAAAAAACTTTTTTTTATACACATTACATTATACTAAATCCATGCAAACTTTTATTTTTGACTTGCATTATAGATTATATAATAATATTAATTTTAGTTTTTGTGTTTGTATTTCCCCATTTTTAAGTATTATTTACTTTTGAACTTCTGATTATTTTGAGTTTTTGTGTGTAGTTTAAAAAGCTGAGTGTATCCAGAAAGGATAAGTATAAGACATTTATCATTAATAAAAATTTTTTTATTTCTTTATTAAATATTTATTGAACTAGAGACACTTACAAGTTTTAAATAAAAAAAAGATAAAATATTTTACCTTTTTTTAGAAATGTACTGAACAATTTTATTAATGATGTCATTGTTTAATTTATTCATCATTCAGCTTATCAACACTGGTGAAGAATTTGTGATATTTTATGGTTTCATATTAATATTACTGCATTTTTATAGTGGTCGTATTCTGTTGTGTACTTATGTGTAAGCATTAGCACTTGAAATTTAATTTTCTTAATATATGGTCATATTCATTGATGGGTATTTTTTTTAAAGAAATTCTACTTTTGAAGTAAATGATTTTCTAAAGAAGGAAAGTCATGTAATGAAACTAATTGCTAAATTGTGTCACTTTGGGTTCTGTGAAATGAGTCTTTAATTCAAAATGTTTTCATCAACAAAAACTGAAAATTTGTCTCATATTTTCTTCTAAATATTAATGAGTTAGCATTTGTTGTTTTGTGTCTGATCTTGATACTAATTATTTGTGGTTCTGTAATTTAAATAATTACCAAGCGATGTTGTGGACCAAGTTCTGATTTTGAAATTTTGTCTTGTTTATTTTTTTAAAAATTCATTGATCATTTGATTTTTGAAATAATTTTAGTAAATATTTATAAATGTGAATATGGTCACTTGTTGAAATTTTTTTGTAAACACATGCTCATAATTATAATATTCTTCAGATTATCTTTTAAAGAATTGTGTTCTTAATATTCTCATTAATTAAGAGCCGTGCTTAAACTAAAACTTGTATTGAAATTCACTCTTTGATAGGAATTGAAGCTCAGCAGTCTCATGATTTACTCCCATGGGAGCTTATTTATGTAAATTTATTATCGAAAGTGTACACAGACTGTACAGTGATTGGTTATTTAATCAAGAAATCAGCTGAGTTGATATACACTTTTAATACTTTACAGTGTTTTATCTCCCTGCTATTGTTTTAAATTGTTATTTAGATTTCTAGTTTTCAAAATTTTCTGTATAACTTTTACATAATTTTTCTCTGTAAACATAGCTTTATTTGCTCATAGTTGTGCTCCTGTTAATTTGTTTTAATTTGGAAGTATATTTAAAGTAAACATATTTCCATTACATTATAAGTAAACTAATAAAATAAGCTTCACTGAACTCAAGTTTGCCACTCATTTTCTTCTTGAACATATTACTCCTTTTCATATGAAATCCAAATTTAACTCATATTAAATGTACGTTTTTGAAATTTATTCTTTATTTCTTTAAGTGAAATTCGAATAGCTGTCTGCGTTAGTAATCATATTTCATTTTGTTTAGTGCATGATTCCATGTGTAATTACTCTGATTTAAACTGTGAGTACTTCAAAGCAGTGTTTGAAAATTCTTTGTCTATTAATAGTTATGCATTCCTGTAAAGGGACCAATTTGCATCTTCATATTTTACTATTTTGTGCTAATTTGCTTTATAGTTTAAGTGCTTAGAACTCATGTCTGTGATTCCCAAATGCTAATGTTATTACTTCTGCACGTCAGTTACATGTGACCGGTGTGTAATGTATCTCTCTGGATACTTCATTTATTTACTGTCTGCTGTCTACATTTTAAAATATTGTGACAGTGACCTATTCTCTTAAAGGTATTAATTTTGTTTGTAAATAAAAGTCAACAGTTGTTGGTCTTCCAAATCTGTCATTGGTATTTCTTTTTATTTCTTAATTATCAATCAGCCCAAAACTTCCATTATGTATTACAATTTAAATCAAATTTATGTTTTCAGTATATTATTTGTTATATATTTATGATCAAAAAACCCAAAGTACTTCCAACATGTGTATTATTTTATGATTTTAAATGGCATCAAGTGGCTAGTGAAACTAATGAAAATTTTTAAAAAATCTGATGGATATTTTATCGATTTCTATTTCATATTTTTTTTTCCACTCACGGACTCATTTTATGATGTAGAGTGAGTTTCTATTTTGACTTCTTTGAATGTTTTAAACTTTTTTAAGTATACAGCAGTGCTCATATAGCAGAGTTAATCAGGACCAGTGCAGCCTGCACGGCAGCAGTGGGTGGCAGATATTAGAGGGTGGGAAAGCTTTAAAAACTTTATTAAGACACTGGGTGGCAGACTTTAGGAGCCACAAAGTTTGCACCAGGCCGCAAAAAGGCCTACCACCAGTTGTGCAATTAATTCTACTTTCAATAATTCTGTTAGAAAATTCATGGTTTACCTTTCTGCACCATGAGCTGGAACTTTAACGCGTGTTTCCTTTTCTTTTCACCTCTTGTTTTTATTTTCCTCATGTTAGTCTTCATGTTAGTTTTGTTTTTGATTATGTTGTTTTATTTTTAAGAATTCTCATTTACATATATGAAAGAATGTTTAAAAGTTCATTATTGCAGCATAACCATAGTCTTAATTTCTTTTGCTTCTCTAATTTCAAGACAATTTTAATGCTTTCTTTGCTGGTGATTTTAAACTAGTCTCAGTTTCTTTTAGAGTGTGAATGATCATTTGTCTATTTAAAGATTATGCTGCTTTTGTTATGACTGTGATTATTTGTGAATCTGTGGTGTTGCTGTTATTGAAAGTTTATATGCTTAACACCATAGTGTTTCAGTTAGCAAGCATTCATCAGCAGAGCCGGCGTTATGCTTTTTGCCGGCGGTTGCAGCGGCCCTGTTTCTGACACTCATTTGGTGTTAGTGAGAGCATTTGGAAAGGAGACGTGGCCAGTGAACGAGATGTCTGCATTAGCATTGGACTATCGAAATCTTTCATTATTCCTTGCAAAATGTTACCAGATGGTGAATTAAGGAGCCACTATTGTGCGACATAGGATACATCGCTCTATGTGTTGCGAAATTTGGCTTGGTGTTCTAAATTCAGACCAGTGAGTTAAATTGCCTTCTAATTACTGTCTCTATGACTGATGCATCCTATTGAGTTTCTGCCACAATACAATGCACGTAACTCGCTTTACATAGCCATGTAAATTTATTCGAGGTCTAAGTGAAATATTTAAAGGAAGCGTCAGTATATGAAAACACTATGGATGGTACTTGATTTGGGTGCAGTCCACTTAACCGACCATGTCGCTTTTAATAACTTTATTATTAATCCACACCTAGTCCAACCAGAAATGAGAGCTTCCAACACTCCACCCATGTTCAAAAGAAAGCTACAATAAATTTAATTTAAAAACCGGAAAATCAGAGTCCGAGCCCCGAGTAATTGTAAAGTTAGTGTAAAGAAACTAAAGAAAATCATAAAAGTGTATTCATCCTAAAGTATGCCAACACATACGTTATAGAAGTGTGGATGAATTTAAACACCACAATAGGAAAGAAAGAAAAACTGAAAAGAAGTAAAAATATTGTATTATATAATAAAAATGTTAAAGGAGAAGGAAGATAGAACAAGTACCAAAGCATATCAAACAACTCACAAAAACACACTAACAAAAGATATCATAATCTCAGTCACCAACATGTATTGTCTGACGATTATCGTTGATAAATTTCGTTATAGTTTTGCGCTAGATATTAAATGATCGAATAATGTGCAGTCCTAGAGGAAGTTCCGACCATCTCCCACCACACCACAGATATTAATTATTTTTATCATTATTCTGAACTTTAAGTTTTGGGAGGTATTCCTGGAAGACCCCATAACTTGTTCGGTGGTGTCAAGCTAAGAGCTCACTGGAAAGTAAAGTGGAGGTCTGTTGTGTTTTCAGGTGAGAGGTGTTTCTATCTTGGTGTCAGTGATGGCCGTATATTTACAAAGAGGCCTAGTTCCAAGTTGTAAGTGTCGTAGAGACATTAGATCTACCCCAGGAGTTGTGGTCTAGATGACAGCAGGAGCACGCTCGTCATTATCCCACACTGACAGCAAATTTGTAAGTCAGATTGGTGACTCCCGATTGTGCTGCCATTCTTGAGATACTAAGTGATCGAAATAATGCTGAATCTTAGGAGGAATTTTTGATAGGATAACGCTCGTCTCTCTGTTGCTGCTGTCACCCAACGTGCTGTACAGGATTTGGTTTTATGCGACTGCGGGCAAAGCCTCGAGGGCTATCTCCCTAAGGGAAGGGATGCCTTCATGGAGGACTTTCTCTGGAAAACTGGTTCGTATATATGTTACATATAGGGAAAACCATGAAAACGCCTATGCAGCCATCCCGTTTCTCGAACCTCGGAGCGAACTGCAAGTGTTCAGCGACTTTACCATTCTGCTGCTGGGGGGCCATAACATACTCTACAGAGTGTCGACATATTACCTTATCCTGCAAGGTCACTTGATCTTTCTTCCATCGAGTACTTGTGGGACATGATTGGATGGCAAATCCAGCGTTATCCACAATCAACAGGGACTCGTTGCAGATTTGACTGACCAAGTTAACAGGCCTGGAACTCCATCTCATAAAATGACGTTTAGTTTGGTTTATATAACTATGACAAAGCACTCGAGGACTATCTGTCTAAGGGGAGACATGCCTTCGTGGAGGACTTTCTAGGGGAAACTGGCGCGTATACACGTAACGCATCTGGAAAACGCCCATGCAGCCATCCCGTACGCCGGATTCGAACCTCGGACAAACTACCAGTGTTCAGCGACTTTACCGCTTGGCCGCTGGTTGGCCTCAAAATAACGTACGTCACCTGTACGATACAACGCATACACGTTCGCCATGGTTGCATTCAACATCGTAGAGATCAGAGCGTTTAATGATGTACCACCATTTTCATATTTGAAATGGCTCTTCTTGCACATACTTCAGTTTGTGATCTTGGAACAAGAATCAAATAAATATATTATTCCCCCCCCAAAAAAAAAAAGAAAATTAGTACATTTCATTCCTCTAAATGGTTTTTCTGCTTTGTATTAGGATTTTAATTTTCCATCAGCGGAGTTGACTAACTTTTCCCCTTTATGCAGAATTTTAAATGACTTCATTCATCGGACATTACATAAACTTGAAAAAAAAAAAAAAAATTCTTTTAAAGTTATCTTGAAATTTGCATTGTGCTACAACAAAATTCCTGTTGTGGTGTATGTTTTCTGAGAAGTTGTGTATTTTGTATAATTGATAGCGTTTGAAAAATTAAACTGCCGTTTTTTTCCCCATGCTGGATTTCCAAAATGCATTTTTTTTCCATATTCATTCCTGCATTGCAACGTTTTTTTTAAAAATTCCCAACGCATTGTCTTTCCTGTCTTGCATTCACAATGTAGGAGCGTCATTCTCGTGTTTGCTTTTAGCAGACACTTGTTTGTAGGATTACAGTCATAATACCATTTTACTTTTATTCTGGCATGTTTCGAATTTGATTGCAAGGTTAGTAACGTGGGTTATGTCCAGTGTTGTGTATAAGGTTGTTTTTTCAAAAATTCAAATTCTACGTATAAAAGTTCTGATTAAAAGAGAAAGGGGATGAATTAATGAACGAATGTAGCAAAGCAAAAGTGAACCGGTTCCAAATCTAAGTGTGAAAAATGTGCAGAGCGATATGGAATTTACTAGATCAATCCATAAGTATTATAATATAGTTATTTAAGCTTAAGACATACGTTCAAAAGACTTAAGACTTGAAAACCCTCCTGTACGAGTGGATTATGCAGAAAACTAAGCAAAGAAAGTATGGTCTCTAGCTGAGTAGAATATATTTAAAATACAAAGTTTAGTCATTTGTATGAAAAAGATCTCAGAAGCAAAACCCATCTAAGGAATACCAAGCTATGTAAAAGCAATATTTTTTGAAGGAACATTAAGTCATCAATTATTTAAGTTACCTAAATAGTAGCCAAAATGTGCAGCTTTGTATTGTTGCTCTGGATATAACTTTGCCTTCAAGGAATAATGAAATCGGTGTTGGGTGATAGCACTGTAAAAAGAAATATTTTTGGTTATATTGTCATACGATTCTCTTTTCAGGCAGTTTGGTGGCATGTTTTCAAGTATCTAGCGCCATGTCTGTGAAGCTATACTGAAAGTATTTGCAAAGAATATTTTCAGTACAGCTTGATGAGTCAATTGATGTAAATAAGAAATGTTAGTTGTTGAGTCAATCAGATTTGTTTTTGATATTTGATTACTGAGAAACTTATTCCATGCTCTGAATGTCCTGCAATAACACTAGTCATCAAAATTAACGGATAATGAGAAGCTCACTAAGTTAACGTTGCAACGCAGGCCCAATGCTGTAATTATTTATGCTAATTAAGTCAATTGAACACAAAATTGCACTTTCAAACGTACGTTAGCGCCGGAAATTCGGCGATTGACAATATGGTGCGCAATGTCAGCATGTTAGAATTTCGGTCTAAGTGAAGGTCAAAAGTGGCGAATAACTGGTAGAATCGAGGAAGGTCAAACACAAATGGATATCGCCCAAGATATGAATATCCTTCAAACTGTCATATCTAGAGTTTGGAGCCGCTTATTAAGCACTGAATCAGTTGATAGACAACCTGGTCAAGGGCGACCAAGAGCAGCAACTGCATCAAAAGACCGTATTCTGTCCTTGTCGGCTGGAAGAAAACGCAAAGCGACTACGAGAGATTTGGTTGTAGACCTTCAGGCTGCCATGGAATTCGAATTAGCTGCTCTTATGCTGCGCGAAAGCTTAACGAGGTTGGACTGTATGCGAGAAAACCAATGGGTTATGTCCCACTCC